ACCAAAAAACCCCTAAAATTTAATTTATGATATTTTTCGTATCGGGTCAGAGGGTATCGCCCAAAACGAAGCTGGGGGTTCGGTATATCCGGTGATGACGAGTGGCGCCTCAGTGGCGTCCGTCAACTCGATGACCAAAAAAAGACAATTTTCTGGTCTCGATGTTGATTGATAGTTTTATAATCTAGATAACGGCGTTGTGGAGACGTCAAGAACCCTGATTTAGGTATAGCAGCATTCTTATGACACAATCTTCGAGCCTGACGCCGGCGCCTGAATATTTCTACACACTTTTATTTTTATTTACATATTGATATATTAATTGCCCCGTGCTGCCGCTCATAAACAACATAAAAAAGACAGTTTAGTGCTGGCGGAATGTTGACACGTCGGATTTTATTGACTCAGTGTGGACAGGATTAGCGCAAGCCAGTAAAATCACTTTAAGACACTTTACTTAGTATCGATATTGCGAGATTTTTTGCAAAAAAAAAACTTTCTACGATGTTATTATTGCCTGTTTTTAACATTTACTATTATCAGAGAACAGAAAAAAATCTGATGATATTACCAATGTTTCTTGTTTTTTTTTGCTTAAATTTGCAATTTGTTATATGTATTATAAAATCACAAAAAAAATTACGTGCCACCTAGTACTTCCTTATAAAATCTATATCTGAGCTTCTTTCTTTCCACAAAAAAGATTCCAAGTGTTATTCTAGGAGTATAATCATGTTAAGGTATTTTTTATATAAAAAAAATGTAAACAATAACACCTGTTAATCTTAAATTTAAAATGTGTTTAAAAGTTCCTGCAAGAAATATTAAAATACAGTGGATCGAAAATAAAATAGATTAAAGTTGGCGTTGCGTGTCAAGCTGTCAAGATTTGGGTGTTACTACTGTCCTCAGTTTGAATTAAATGAGTGCCAACATAACCTTTAATTAATTACTAAGTATTGGTACATCATATGAATACATACATTACGGTCAAATAAAGCGTCAAATAGCGGCAATACCAACATCATATTTTAAAAATAAATTTCATGGCCTACCAGACGTCTTTTTTTCAATCATTGGTCGTCTAAATAATTACTGCATTTTTAATTGTTCAGTTTATTTAAGTCTATAATTATTTTTTCAGTTAAATTGGGTTGACATTTTTTAAATTTCTTCAAAAACTGCCTTTACACTTTACCACCCAAAGGTCAAATTAAATTTTATTGCTCGTGAAGAGTTGTCAATAATAATTATGATTACATTGCTGCCTATATAATTTTTCAAATTCCTATTAATTTTCAAAGAAGTCCAAAGTATCACCAGTGAGGCCAACATGGCGACATTTTGACAATTTATAAACTTGTCGCTGACGTTGTAAGATAAATTAAGCTCCAGGCCCCCTTGGCTCACGACGAATAAAAAAATCATCCGAATTAATATAGGTCGGGTGGGTGGGGCTTATATTTTACCTTTTTTTTTCTTAATATACATAGCCATCTTTTCACAACAACAAACTTAAAAAATTGTTAGAATGGTACATTTTTGCAAGGAAATATGGATTTTACAATCATGGGGCGGAGCCTAATTGTAAAATCGATATTTCCTTATACAAATTTTCCATGGATTTTTCAAAATTTCCTTTTTTAAAATTGTTCTATTTTTCAAGTTTTGATTTCTCGATTTGTCGAACTCAGATTTTTCGATGTTTTCATTGTTCAATTTGTCGATTTCTCGATTCTCTGATTTTTCGGTTTCTCGTTATCTCAATTTTTAAATTTTTCCATGTCTTGATTTTTGGCCTTTACGGTTTTTCGATTTTTTGATTTGTCATGAGTTCTTCCTATTTTTCAATCTTTCAAATTTTGACGATGCTAAATTTTCAGATTTCCGATTTCTCAATTAATGTATATTATATTATCGAAGATTCGATTTTTGAGTTTTTTAATTCTTGGATTTTTCGACTTTGCTTTTTTGGTTTTTCGATTTTTCAATTTCCAATTTTTAAATTTTTCAATTTTTGGATATTTCATTTAGTTTTGGGATTTCCCAATATTTTGATTCTTCGACTTTTCGATTTTTCGACTGCTGGATTTTTCGATTTTTTATTTTTTGGATTTTCTCTTTTTCGATTCTTAAACTTTAGATTTTTTAATTTTTGGACTGTTTTATATTGCGATTTCTCAATTTTTCGACTTTCCGATATTTTAATTTTTCAATTTTTAAAATACTAGATTTTTCAATTTCTCAAGTTTTCAGTTCTTTATACTTTAATTTTTGAATTTTCCGGTTTTTTAAATTTTCGATTTTTCAATTTTTTGAGATCTCGATTTAACGAGATTCGGATGTTTCTTTGATTGCGTAATTTCTCGCTCTATCAATTTTTCCATTTTTAAATTTTCGATTTTACTTTTGGTTTCTGAATTTTTTGATTTTTCGATTTCTCCACCTTTCGACTTCTCGACTTTTCGACTCTTCGATTTCTCGATATTTTCATTTTTCGATTTCTCGATGTCTCAGATTTTAAATTTTCGATGTTTCGATTTTTGAATTATCCGATTTTTTAATTTTCGCATTTAAATATTTTTTTTTAATTTTTTGATGTTTCGATTTCTCCACTTTCAATTTTACGATATTTTAATTTTTTATTGCTTTAAATTTTAGATTTTTCAGTTCTTCAATATTTTTCAATTTTTCAAATTTTGACGTTTCTGAATTTTCAATTTTCCGATTTCTCAATTAATCTATTTTGATTTTCCCAAGGTTTCGATTTTTCAGTTCTTCAATTCTTGAATTTTTCGATTTCTTCAGGTTTTTGATTTTTCAATTTTTCGATTTTTTAAGTTTTCCAATTTTTTAACTTCCCAATTTTTGGATATTTCGTTCAACCCTATGATTTTTCAGTTTTTCGATTCTTCAATTTTTCCTCTATTTCTTTAATTTTTTCATACTTATTTCAGTTTTGTAGTATTTCGACTTTTCGATTTTTCGAGTTCTGGATTTTTCGATTGCTCGACTTTTTACTCTTTCGTTTTTTAAACTTTGCATTTTTCGATTTTTCGGCTGTTTTATACTTCGATTTCTCAAATTTTCAACGTTTCCTCGAGTTTTCAGTTCTTCTATATTTAAATTGTCTCAGTTTTCCGAATTTTTGAATTTTCGATGTTTCAAATTTCCCTTTTTTAAAAGTTTTCGATTTTAAATTTTTTGGATTTCTCGATTTGTCGAATTCAGATGTTTCGATGTTTTGATTGTTTAATTTCTCAATTTATCAATTTTTCAGTTTCTAACTTTTCTTCTCGGCTTTCCATTCGTCGATTTCTCGATCCTCTGACTTTTCGATTTTTCGATGTCTCAGTTTCTGAATATTTCTATGTTTACACTAAGTCTATAATTATTTCAGTTAAATTAGGTTGCCATTTTTTAAATTTCTTCAAAAACTGCCTTTACACTTTACCACTCAAAGGTCAAATTAAATTTTATTGCTGGTGAAGAGTTGTCAATAATAATTATGATTACACTGCTGCCTATATAGATTTTTTTAAACCCTATTAATTTTCAAAGAAGTCCAAAGTGTCACCAGTGAGGCCAACATGGCGACATTTTGACAATTTATAAACTTGTCGCTGACGTTGCAGTTCGCCGTTAACTTGCCACTGGAAGATAAATTAAGCTCCTCCCCCTTGGCTCACGACGAATAAAAAATCATCAGAATTGAGATAGGGCAGATGGGTGGGGCTTATATTTTGTCTTTTTTCCTTAATATGTGTAGACTTATTTCGACAACAAGGAAAACAATAAACTTAAAAGATGTCTAAAATGGTAAATTTTTGTAGTGATCAACTTAAATCCTCCAGTTTTCTTCTATAACCCCATTAAACGGCAAAAGTTGAACATCAAAGTTCCTATCAACGGCAACTTGGCAACAGAGTTTATTATTTTGCCATCTGCCACTCAAAACTCCGGCCAAACGTTCTCTGTTTCCAGATTTTTTTTGATGATTTTAAAAAATAGAAACATAATATTGGAATAAAGTTATTTAATATATAATTTTTTTTACGGAACACAGTAAACGTAGAAACTCGGTGTAATATCAAGCACTGGTACAGTCCTCGCATCACGAGTTAAGTAGAATTGCGGCTCTCCGTTCAATTCGCTCTTCGTATTTACGCTGCCATGGGCAATTTGAATTAATTTTATCCATTAAACAGTACAGAACCAACGAAAATTTTTCTGTTCGTCAGAAACAACAAATAACAGTAAATCAATAATAATTTTACCCTTACGCGTACGGATTGCCGTAAAAAAATTAAGAATTAAATTTTTCTTCAAACATGTATAACCCGTTTTTTTCAATTTTGGTAGTACGTACATATTTATATTAACTAATATCTGCACAATAGTACAAACCGACTTTGTAAAGAAACCAAGTATACACTAAAGCATCTGACGTCTGACGTATTTATATATTGTGTTATACATAAGTATAAAGTTGGTTGCCGACCTCCTCGACTAAACTTATTTGTGTTTTTAGCATCAAAAAATTGACTTATTGGAGGCGAATTAAGAGGTTTAATTGCAATTAATCCTTAAATTTGAGAACCCGATTGGTTAAACTTGCATTACTTGATTGGTTAATTGAGTGATGTAAATAATGTTTGTAAACGGTCTAAACATAATAAAATTAGAAAGTTAGTGCGTGCTGTAAATGTCTTGCTGATAAAAATGTTTCCATTGGAGGATTATCACTTATCAGTGAATAAGAAAGTACAGATTACTTTAACCTGGGAATCACCGAAAATAACCACTTTTGTCAGCACAGAAAACGAAAAATCGAAATACTCCAATTAAAATTAATAATAATTGATAAGTACTACGTACCCTTAACTCCATCACAATTCATAATACAGTTTTTGTGTTTGAATTAACCTTTCAATCACACAGCAATTACATCTCGATGACAATGATGACGAACTGTCACTTTTTTTGAATCGTCAAGTTGGTATTCGTTTACAACAACGACAACCTGACAACACAACAATCAACCATGTAAATAGTAAATAGCAATAATAAAATCAACCATGAAGCTAGATCAACTCGAAAACGAGAACCCCAATATTTACAGCAAAACCGACGACCGAATCGCAACAGCCGAAGAGGAAGATGACAACATTGTGGACGAATTTGACCCTAGAGAAATTTTCGGTGAGTAAACATAACCTCACAAATTAAAATTGTGTCAACGAAAACGATCCCCAGATCTGATCCGCACCATAAACGACCCAGAACATCCCCTCACGTTGGAAGAACTTCACGTGGTGCAAGAAGACCTGATCGAAGTAGACAATGGCAAAAACACGATTTTCGTCAATTTCACCCCAACCATCCCACACTGTAGTATGGCAACTCTGATCGGTCTTTCCATTCGAGTGAAATTACTCAGGTGTCTACCAGCCAGGTTTAAAGTAAAAGTGGAGGTTACGAAAGGAACGCACAACGCTGAAAACGCCGTGAATAAACAGTTAGCTGACAAGGAAAGAGTGGCTGCTGCCTTGGAAAATTCCCATTTAATTCAAGTTATAAATCAGTGTATAGCTAATAGGCGTAAAGCTTAATTGTTTTGTTGAGTTTGATCGTGTATAAAATAAATAGGGTAGGCGAGTATTCCAATTTTTTTTATTTGGTTGGTACAAGATAAAAGAACGTTTATATTGACAGATAAAAATGTGAGGTTATAAAGAACTATTTTTTGGGTCAAAATGATTTTCGAAACAGGTAAACGGCGTAAAACTACTTTTTAATTATACAGTGTTTGGTATTTATCCCTCTTACAGCATGTTTGATTGGTGTGGCCATGTTGTGGGGCGGGACTAACCCACTGTTGAAGAAAAATTCAAAAGATATAACGAAAATCAAGGAAAATTCTAAAGTTAAACAGTTTTTGTTAGAAGTTAAATATCTAGCAACTAACACCAAGGCCAGTATTTATGATTAATGACTCCTGATTTACTGACTGAATATGGACTCATGTTATAGTATTTGGTACCAATGGCCCTAAATCAAACTGGATCTGTTGTTTATTTTCTTACACTACAAAATGCCGATTTGTCGTTGTCTGTCCCAGTGGCAAATTCCCTCACTTTTGTTTTTACTGCTGTTTCAGGTTGGATTTTAGGAGAACAATTACCTAAAAAGAGTAAGTTGTTGAACTTTGTCTTGAAAAGTGGGGACTGAATTTTATTTCATTCCAGACACTATGTTAGGAGTAATTTTGGTGTTACTAGGAACGACCTTGTGTTGTTATGACAATTATCTACGGAGTTTTCAAGATAAAATAATTAATTAGTGGTTGTAAAATAGGAAAATTCCAAAGTCCTGTGATATTAAATAAATAAATATTATTATTATTAGTAGCTGAAAAAATTGTCCGTTGAGTTGAAAAATGACCTGTAATCCAATAATTCTGACTGTACAGAAACTAACTTTCAGGGAGTTGTGATTAAACAAGTTCCAAACTTATATAGAACTTTCATATGTATAACAACCACTCATAAAATGTCATCAACGTTGAACAGCAATCTTCCAGAATTCCTAATCCAACAAAAACCTCATTTTAAGTACGTAATTGGTAAAAACTCGGTTATTAGGCTAACGATAAAGCTACAAACTTTCGGAAATTATAGAGTAATATATAATACTCAGAACATCGTTTTTTTCAAGTTCAGTACTAGGCCAGAACATCATGGTTCTGTTAGATCTTGAAGGTGAATTTACACTATACAAAGGTGGCGCTTAATTTTATAGCAACAGATCCTGAGTTTTAAAAATCCGTTTCAGTATTTCCGGAAGACCCGTTACAGTTTTTATATAACTCCACAATGGGACTAATTCGTTTCAAAATTATTAGAATCGCTTCTTTAATCACATTCGTCATTCATGCCATTATTAGTTTCCTATATTTGGTTGAACTGGTGATGACATTCGACTCAACTTTGCTCACAAGCTACGGACCGATGATTTTTATTTTTGGAAATGTGTTATTACCTGTCTGTGGTATTGTATAATTTTTATCAAAAAATATTTTTAGGGGTTTATGGGTCTAGCCGTTATCTTCTACATAGAACACACAATCAGGGTGTTATTGGGTCAAACGATTGGACATTTGTGGGAATTCGATACCCAGTCACCGTTATACAAACGCATTTCCAAAGAAGCAAAGACATTTTTAGCTGCAGTTCATTTGAATAATTTCATAATGGCGTTGATGATGTTTTTTGATTTTCCAATAGGGGGTAATAACACTAATATTTATTACGCGAAATATTTCTTTGATAGAGTTTTACCAAATTACACTACGTATTTGTGCTACTTGTACTACGCAACTTTTCCTCTTTTGGGATATATGATGGTAATCAACCCCAATTTAATGTTGTATATAACGTCTCAGTTGAAATTCCAAGTGTACTATTTAAACGACTTGTTGATGAATATCGGTGCTACGTACCAAAATAACGACGATTATGATTTAATACGAAACGAAAATTATCAAAAAGAGGTTTCCATTCAACTTTCACGTTGTGTACAGAGACACTGGATTCTTAAATAGTACGTCGGACGGTAGCCTTAACTTCCACAAATATATTTTTTTGTTGTAGTTGGGAGAAAAAATTCAATGAAACAATTTACATGCCATTGATTATCCTCATGGGCTTATCAATAATGGCCTTCATTAGTTTGTTCTTTGGTATTATTGTGGTATTTTTATAATTATCAGACTTGTGTCTGTTATCAAATTTCTGTCTTCCAGGAACGCCAAGAAACGTATCTTCTTAGAGTTGGTTCTTCACTAGTCTTTGCTTGTATTACGACTTTCTTTGCGGTTGCTTCGGGGCAGCTTCTAACGAATGAAGTTTATTCTTTCATTATTTTTTTTTTAAACTAATGTGTTGATTTTTCTTTTTAGTCTGCGAATATTCTAACTAGTGCAGCTAACTGTCGTTGGACTTCGTGGAATTGTTCAAATCGGAGGACTTTGTTAATTTTTATGATAAACGCCCAAGAACCGTTCATTATCGGGACCCCTTTTTTTCTTTGTGAATACCCCTTCATTATCTCAGTAAGTTTTCATTCGTCTTGATAGTATGAGAAAAAATGTGTTGCAGGCCGGCAAGTTTATTTCTTCAATGTGTGGATTTTTTCTCCAGATAGCTAAAATGAGGGAGGCTGAAATGTTAGCAAATACAGTTTCTGATTCGCCTGAAAGCAATTGAATATTATGTAAAAACGTGTTAAATTATCGACAATATATATTTTTTGTGGTTAACAATATTTTATTTGAAAAAAAAACTGCAGCGCGAAATCACATTTGAATAATTTGAATTTGAAAAAAATTCAATCAAGAAAAACGTTAGTGCTTTTTGGGTGGTTGGTAGCTCTCCTAGGGAATTTTCTGTTGAGAGGGTTGGTAGAAGTTGATTTAGTTGTAGAGGGGTGAGAGGCGTCACTTTTGGTTTGTTTGTTGTGAGTGAAACCACGTGGTGAGTCAGCTAGGTTAAGTTTAATTTTTAGTTTTAATTAATTAATCGTACCGATTGCGACGCCACAGTTTTCCCAATACGCGGAGCTAATTCTTGGGGTTTTTCCAAGCGGAAATACGCGGATTTTCGACCGACGCTAACACGTGGTATCAACTTGTTTTGTTGTTTGTACATTCACAGTTCATGTTAAGATTTTAATCGTTAACTCTATAGTTTTAACGATACTGAAATTGTTTAAATACAGCACTTGCTAGATTTCATGGAATTCACTTAGTCAGGACTCATCCTTTTTTAATCCTGTTCATCAAATTATGAATAAGGTTTCTGGATACTTATACTTAAGTGTTGCATTATAACACTTCTTAATTCCTCACACAAAATTGCTAATAGTTGATTTACGGCAATTAAATCAACCTAACGTTGTCCCACTGTGGGAAAAGGACCGTGAAAGTACGGCAGAATTCATAATATCGTGGACTGAAGTACGGGGAGATTAAAAATTTCTCCCCTTTGGCAGTTATTATCATCATATCACCGAGCAGTTTTTCTCGCAACGCTGGATGCTTTTTTGTGTTTATTTATCATGTGTTTGTTTGGGATAAGCTGGGGACAGTCCACGATGCGGGGGACACGATATAAGTTCTCAAAGCTAATTGTTTTAAGTAACCAATTACTTGGAAAATGGCATAATTTATCAGCATGTAAATTCTTTGTTTAAATCGCTGATAAAGTGTGGCATAATTTAACATTATGTAAATTCTTTGTTTGAATCATTGATAAAATGTGGCAAATATTAAACTCATGTAATTTTGGTAGCTTTGCAATTTTTCACCTCATGCAATTTTTCTCTATCTCACAACTCTAGCTGCAGCTTACTCTTTGTTTTTTTTAACATATAGAGTTTTCTTTTAACAACATATTTTCAGTTTCTTGTTGGGAAAAAAAGACTTCGTATATTAAGAAATAATGGACTAAATATACGCCCCGCCCACCCACCCGTTCTCAATTGTAATGAATGCTTTATTCATGGTAAGCTAAAGTGCGGAGTTTAAATTGCAAAATCCAAATTTCTCTACAAGAAATTACCACATGAAATATGTTTTTAAAAGGGTAGAATTTTTTAGGGAAATATTGATGTAGATTGATGAAAGGAAGTATTGTAACCGAGTCCGTCGGCTGATTCTCTACTTTTACATTTTCTCGACCTTTCATGACCCCTAGAGGACGAAGAAATAGGTCTCCCATTTCCGTCTGTCTGTCTGCCGTCCCGGATTTTTATTAGATAGACAATCTCCGAAAGTACTAGGCGGATTGTTGTCAAATTTTTTATTTATATTAAGGATATCATGTATATGATATCACGCTAACCAAAATTTGTCTAATCATCCCCACCACTAATGTGATGACGTCACTTTAAAATTGTACATAGTAAATGGGTTTTAAAATGTATAAAATAACGCATGTAGTTTATGACTCCTAATTGAATTTTTACCCGAAACGTCCATTTTGCAATTTAATTTGGAATCTGCAAAACCGAATGCTTTGAAATCTTGCAGATGGTTTACAGTTATGATAAGAATGATATATTTTTAATCAAAATATATTTACTTATCCTCCCTAAAAAAATGATGACGTCACCCCAAAATTTTGCTGAATAAATCGTATCTAAGATGTACAAAATATGATGAGTCTGTAGTTCTGATTTATCATTCCATTCATATTTTTTGAATTTGCATATACAGGTGACTCAAAAAAATTAATGAATGCGTACATTTATTTTATTGATTTAATCAGGAACTACAAGACCGAATGCTTTGAAAATATTGGAAATGTTTTAAACTTATCATAGCAATGGTAATTTTTTTATCAAAATGTATTTGCTCATCCCCCATAAAAAATTGATGTCATCCCAAAATTTTTCTGAAAAAATTCTTAAATGTATAAAGTATGATGAATGTATTGTATACTTGTGATCTAACACTGCATTAATATTTTTTAGATTTGTTTATACGGGGTGACTGAAAAAAAATAATGACTGAGTCAATTTATTTTATTGATTAAATCAGTAATTGCAAAACTGAATATGTACTTTGAAATCTTGATGTTGTGAACTTATTGTAAAAAAAAATTTATTAGGTCATCTCAAAATTTTGCCAAATAAATTCTTTCGAAAATGTGCAAAATATGATCAGACTATACTTGTAACTTATCATTGCATTCATATTTTTAGATTTGCTTATATATGACAAAAAAAAAATGAATCAGTCAATTTATAAGAAAGTGAAACCAGAAGTGAGGGAAGTTCTGTCGAAGTAACTTTCGACCAATTTATTTTTTTTTCATGTAAATATTTTGTTGTTTAATGTTTCCATTAAATTGTCTGCTGTCCAATCTTAATCTCCGATAAGAATTCTTTGCTGTTTAAAAATTCACGACTGTATGGCGAATTTAAATGTCGTTTATTGCGTTTTATTTAAATGGCAGAAGCGGGGGGCGCGGTTCCTAGTCGAGCTGGCGGAATTTATCGCGTCGTCTGTACAAAGGACGCAGACCTAGAATAGAGTTACAGGCGACCGAGATGACGTGACGCTGTCGGTTTGGCCCAATAGCCGGGACCCAACATCATGTGGGGAGAACAACCACGACCAGGAGTCCCAAACTCCGCTCATGTTACAAAGCCCCCTATGGGTAATTTGGCTGTGTTCTGGAATTAAATTGATATAGTTTTTATTGAAATTTTGTACTTTTGACTGCCATAATTTTAAATTTGCCACCACACGTCCGTAATAACTTGTGTATTTGCATCCAGTTACTTTAATTCAGATTTTTCTTTATGTTTATTAAATTTGTGATAATCAAATATTTACATTGATTTAGCACGTTTAATTTAATTTAATGCCAAGGCCAAATTTTTGAAATTTTTCAAATTTTGTTCACATGCCAAGTTAAGGCGGGATGTTTGGGTTATCACAACACATGTCTCAATTAATGAACTGTTAATGATTTTGGGGGAAATGTCAATATAAAGATGTATAGGAACGACTTTAATTTATAGTTTTATAAAAAAGATGCAGAGAAAGTGCAAGTGATTATTAATAAGAACATTAAGACTGTTGAGTAAACTATTAAATTCGAATTCAAATTAAAATGCGGTTGGCGCCTAAATTGGAGCATATGATTGGTTGAATATGATCACATGATGACAGCCGTGCGTTTAAATTAATGGCGCAATTACGTAACTTTTCAGCTACAATATACAAAGTGACGAAATAATTTAAAAGCTTTAAATATTTTGATGGGTTTAGTAAATGAGGCCTTCTTTCTAAATAATATATTTTACAATCAGTTTTATTCTCATTATTCTAGTAGTTTTTTTAATGTCGATTTTTTATTTGTCTAACTTAAATTGAATTTATTCATTTAACACGCTACTTAAATTACTCCACATATAAATAACTGTTGGTGATTTATTTATTCAACTGTCTAAATTTACAACTTTTTTTTTCCAAAGAAAAACAATATCAAAGCACATCTCATCACTAATCACATAACACATACTTAATAAAAATACAAATTAACTGAAAAAATCTATATACTAATCAGTTAAACAATAAATTAATTACAAGTGTGAATGCAATCAAAGATCTTACAATATAAGAAAAATAACCCACAAAACTATAAACAACCAGTACTCACAGTGATGATGATAATAATATAGGATAAATACAACGGTTAAAGTGAGACTATATTTGTCCAATATTATAATATTACTGCGTCTTAAAATAAGTTGAAGCGTTTGGAAACCTCTCTGGCGTGAACTCAGCGTTATCTCTTAACGCAGTCTGCACTGTCGTTCTCAACAAACTCCTATAAGCGGCTTGTACATCTGCAGAATCGCCTGCTCCTTGGGATACTACTTCTAGGGGTGCGACTGATGCCAATCCCGTCGATGTCACCGCTCTCCTTACGCTCTCTACATCACACGACAAAATTACACGAAATAGTTGGCAACCCTGACAATCACCCACCTGCAATGACCTGTGGAAGACTCCCTTGTGGCTTAGTACTATTAACGATCTTTCTCCTCTTGGTTGGCATTCCTGACAAATAGGCGTCACTAAAAGGCGCTTGTGGGTTTTGCCGCCTCTGCCTCTGTACATCCCTTGTGATAATCGGCACCCAGTCCTCAGGCACTTGACCATGCCACGGTTCCGCACCTAACACTATATTAGGTAAAGGCTCTTGATCATCACCTAGTGACAGTGGCGGCAGCTCAGGCACTGGCGTCTCGCCTGTAGCTAAAGGCTCATCCAACTCCATAGGCTAAATTAATCATTATAAATTTCCTTGTTGTATGACTTCAAACTGTCAAACTCTTACCTCTGCTTCTTGTTGTGACGTACTCCTAACCTCACTCTGTACCGGCTGCTCAGGTGGCGTTGGCATCGGCACATCCGTGTTTCGGACAATATACGGTTCAATTTCAGCCTCGTTGAGGCCTAAATTTGCCATAAAGTGCCGCAGGTTGGCACAACTGGTGATCATCGTCCAGTTTTGTAGCTCCGCCGGGATTCCTTGCATGTACGACGTCTTTAATAAAAATTATGTTTGGAAATGTTTATGCACACGTTTTCGGACTTACGATGATTTGTTGGAACGTTTCTTCGACTCCTTGCTGACCGTTAAGGCTACTGTGGAGAGCTAGTGCGCACATCATTTTAGCCAACATTAAACACTGATCGACCAGTGTTCGCATGTTTTCGGAAGTGAGGTTGGTAGCAGTGGTGATTATGTCGGGTAACCGTCTTCTGAAAAGGGTCTCCACGGATCTGACTATGTCTATGTCGTCCCGAACGCGCAGGCGGCTCTGAGCATAAATATATGAGTCACCGTGGTCTAACCAATCGCAGCCGAGTTTTTTATAAATGGCGAGTGTTTTGCTTTTTTTACTCTGTAACTTACAAAATTTTGGAAGAATGGCTGCATCTCGTTGACGAATCTATCCACTCCCGCATTGATAGCTTCTGGTGTGTTTGAACCATCAAGCACTCTGGTATTGAAGAAAGTTCGTATTTCATTGGTCACTCGATTCAAGGGTTCGAAATTTCCGGTATTCAAAGTAATCATGTCACTGAAATTTGACAACGAACAATGACGTAATGACAATATTCTGTTTGTAAATTGTTAGCGCACTTACACGATAGTCAAATTTCTCGACAATAACATGATGAGGTCAGTAATGATGCTTTCACCAGGATTGTCCTGAGACTCGTCAAGCGGTAGTTGTTGCAAGATGTCTGCAATTGTGGGTCCTTGCAACATGCTGGGAAGATTGGCCTAAACATTTATAACAATTTAGTGTAATAGAAATATTTCTTTGTTCACTTGCGGCGTTGAACTCGGGCACCAGTTTTTATTGTTTTTTTTTTTTTTTAATACGTACCAACGTGCTCTGCAAATTCGGCAACAAATTGGCCAACCCCGGCGGCATTTGTCCAGCCGCCAGCCCGGCGCCAACTCCGCCCTCCGGCCGGCCCTCTCCGCTGGCCTGCCCACTCGAACTCGCCGCCTCTGCGCTGGCTCCGCTCTGCTCCGCCTGGGCGCCGTTCGGGGGCGGCGCGTTCGCGGCGCTGGCCTCGCGCCTCCGCCTGTACGCTGTCCTCAGCGACGAGTAGATCTCGTCGAATAGACTGTGCAGGTTCTGCGTGGGCGGCCGCTCCCGCTGCTCGCCTCCCTCCTCCTCGTCCGGCTGGCGGGGCGGCTGCCTGGCGGTGGGCACGCCCGTCGCCTGCGGCTGCACCCGCCTCCGGTGAGTCACGTGGTGCGAGTTGCACGGCAGGAACGGGTCGAAGCCGCCCTGCATGGCCTGCTGGGCCAGGTGGACGTGAGGCCGCGGCGTCGAGCGGGTGTGCGTCGACGTGGTAGGATTGGTCTGGGTGTTGCTGCGGGCCTGGGTGCTCTGGGTGGCGGTCATCTGCGGCTGCGGCGGCGGCGTGGTGCTCGCCGCGGAGGAGTCGGCCGAGGCGGTCGGCGACGTCGTCGTCGTCGTGGTGTTCGTGTCAGAGGTGGGGGCGGTGGTGGTGATGCGGTTCATTATCTGACCGGCCATTTGGACGAGGGATTGCAAGAATTCGGGCGGAGGACCATTTAGGGTTCCTTGCAAAACTAGAAATAAATTAAAACAACGGTAAATGTGTCATGATGTTCAGGTCTTGCATTTCTTCTAACCTTCAGGTGTCACTTCCATAAAAAATTCAACACTGGAATTATTAAAGTTGGGCACGTTAAAAGTATTTGTTGTAGACGTCGAAGTTGTGGGGGTCGTGGTGGTCGGCGTCGAAGTGGTAGTTCTATTTTCGCCAGCTCCGACTGTGTTATTATTATTATTCTGCATTCCTCTAGCGTGAACTACGTTCACTGGCCGCGATGTAGTCCGAACTTCAATCGGGAAAGATTGCACGCGCATTGAAGCAGCAGGAATGAACGGGAACCCCCTGAAACACCCCAACTTACAACCACTTCAAAAGTGTATCCACGAAAGAAAACCACCTGAAATTCATCGTCGGTGGAGTTCCAGTTCCAGTTCCAGTTCCGGTTCCGGTTCCACTTCCATTTCCCGTCGCCGCCTGCGTAGTCCTCGTCGTATCCCCCGAACTCGACGCCGCCGTCGTCGTGGTCTCAGTGCTTGTGGTGGCAGCACTGGTTGTTGTGGATGCGTTTGGACGCTCCGCCGACAGGTTAAATTGAGCCTTTACGTGAGAAAATGTCAAAATCACAAAATACCGTTTTTAATCGAATTTCCTGTTACTTACTACCTCGACTTGGATTGGGATTCCGGCCTGCACCACCGCAGAATGCTGAATCAGGATTGGACGACACAGCAGCGGTCTTGGTGGGGGAGTGCGAACGCGAATGATGATGTCGCTGAGGGAGTGGTAGGCGTGGCCTAGGAAGTGTAGCACTTCGGAGACTCGGGTGAGCATGGCTTGGGTTTGACGAACATTCTAGGGAATGCATTTATATAGTCACCGAAATGGGGAAGCTAAAACGTACTTCTTGTGGTATTATGGGGTCCTCGACCATGAAATGGCGGTACCGTTCCAAGAATGGCTGGAATCTGGTCTGTAGTTGGTTTAGTGTTGATAGAAGTTCCGCCATCTCTGAGGTCCGGCAAGCATTTCTAGAAGCACGACTTACATAAAAACGATATTTTCTTGTTTTTAAGTGAAAGCTGAATTTCTAAAGCTATATATAAAAAAGTCTCTGGTTTTTTTGCAACACTTGAAAATGTATTTGTTTGGTTGTACGTCAGTGACAAGGTAAGTTTTGTCTAAATAAATTTAGACCTTTTTTTTGGTGTTATTTTTCTTCTTTAACTTTTAACTTATTACAAGATTTATTAATCAACCATTTGTTAAAGAAAGATCTATGAAATAATTGTCGAAAGTTACTATCGCACACAAAAGTATTGTCGGTACCCAGCAGCGACGGGTATTAAGACTGCTCCGCCTCCTCACTGACTGTTTCCATAATCCCTAAACATCTAAATAGAATACAATGGACAAAGATCAAAACTTTCTAGTTTCCATAAATTAGGAAAAAAAGTTAGCCGAAAACGCTCAGGAAGATTTTTGCTTGCATCGAAAATCAAAACAAAATGTAGTGTTTTAATCAATTAGCGGAAGTCAGAGCAATAAAAAAGTCTGGACCGTCGGCAATGTGATCCAGTTATTGCAATTCGTAGAAAACATCTTTTAGTTTAGTTTCTGTGTTTTAAATTACGAGTACCATAAATGATTTTCAGTTCTGTCTGCAGTCGCACCTCTGTTATTAGATACGGCAGCCGTGATTAAATTGTTTCGTTATTTATTGATTATAAATCACTATTCAAGAATAACAATACAAAAAAAAAAAAACGAAAAAATTGTTGCACCTTAACCTAGATAATTTTTTCAATATTTCAAAAAACTCACTCTGCAAGAGTCCTAGCGCTGACGCCGCCGCCAGCTCGCTGTTCACTGCTGGACCCTTCCGCCGCATCCGCCGGGGGCGTTGCTTCCTCTGGTGTTGACGACGCTGACCGTTCAGCCGGGGGAGACTCTGAAGTGCTTTGCGTCGGATTGTTAGCATCAATGGTGACCTCAGCTGCCATTGGTCTAAATCAACACAATCGGTCGCAACGTATTTACACACAAAATAAAAAATAAGTTACATGGAGCCCGAAGCGGCATCAAACAACGTGTTCTGTACAGCCGATAGAACCATGGCCTCGTCAATAGTTTCGTTATTTCCAGGAGGAACTATGACGCGTGCTTCTATAATAGGAGTGACTTCCTCTTCCTGCTGTTCATCTGTGGATGGCTGGTCATTGGGTCGGGCCGAGGGATTTTCCAATAAAGTTATAACAGCATCAGCACGTCTCAGCATTCTAAACATAAACCACTTTTTAAGTAAAGCAGGCTGTGTCTACATCTGTCAATGAATGTGTCATTCATGACAGCTTAACACTCGCCTACGCTGATTTAACGTTTGAAATTAAAATGTTGTTCGGATGACGAATATATGATAAAAGTACCTTCTAGCGACGTTCAGACGACTCCCGGCTAAACTATGTGTCGGCGGCGGGGGTACAATCCCCTGTGACTCCATTAAATTACTGGGGAAGGCCATGGAACCCAAATACATAGTGTTCTCGGTTTCAAAGCCTCTGAAGCCCCGTCGCTGGGGCTGGGGGGACGCGGACCGCGTAGTTGGGGGGTTCTGGCTTGGCGGGGCCCTTTGTACCAAGTGTACAACCTTCCCATTGACATCTACCAACAACAATCAATAACGCTTCAATGTTTCCACAAAACTCACCATAATCGCTAAGTTTCGCGCTATCTTGTAGCACACGTCCACAGTATATGATCCTCTGCGTATCCGCCGGAATGTTCACCGTGTCTGCAATTTTCGCTTTAAATTCCTCGACGGTGATCTATCGAATCAAGTTATTAATGCAATTTTACGATTTGATTTTCAGCGCACTTACGTCGTCGTCGACCGTGAAGGTGTGATTCTGAGAATCGAGGGTTTTCACCGTGAGCACAATCATTTTTCTGGAATGTGAAGGAGGTTAGTGGGCTTATGGAAATGACGAAGTGACGACGCCCGTTCAACTACGCACCGAAAACGATTAATTATCGCGGAACGGTGCACAGTTTGTTGCTCACGCAAGATAATTTTATCGTTTGGGCAATTTGCTGTACCTGAATGTTTTCGGATCTCACAACATTTTTAGAGGTTAAGCGATAACTTTGGGGGCGCAACAGATCGTCCACCAATGTACACACAAATTTGGAAATGAACCTGTACTTGGAGCGATTGCTAGTTTTTTTTTAAACACACCTTTCACAACAAAATGACGACGGATAGACTCTGCGGAAAACGCAAAATGACGACGAATACCACACGACGGTTAATGACAGGACGCGATCATTGGCTGCCAACGTTGCGCAACGAAATATAATTGCGTCTTTTTGGAAATATCACCCGTATTACCTATTTCAACCAGTTTTTGGTCGTGCGTGGCGATTTCTAAAGTTTACTTGAATTAGTAACGGGTATATTTTGCTTGAATCGGTGCAAAAGTATTAAAATAAGAATCAAAAGCCCCCATAGTTACTTTTAGTACCACCTGAAAATCAACAATGCTGCCAACTAACCTCGTATCTACGTGTATTTTCATTGTTCAATTTGCAAAAACTCTTTCAAGTCAGATGGCAGGTGTTAAACCAAAGGTCTTAGTTTTCGATTTGGGTAATCACGTACGAAGTTATCATTGCAAATATATAATTATTCATTTTATAGATTACACACTTTGGCCTTTTTGGGTTGATACTCATGTTACCCCCCCTTTCCGAAAAACGTAACTATTTCAAAATTTACAACAATAACAAGTTAAATAATAACTTCTAGGTCACAAGGAGTGATTATTGATTCACTTGGCTATAACGTCAATCAATATCCTGAGCCCTCAGAAGTTCTAAGTGACTTGCATAAGCAAGGTTATATTTTAGCAGTGGCGTCTCGTACTGGAGAAGTTCAAGGGGCCCAACAGCTTATTGAATTACTTGGTTGGAAAAAGTACTTCTCGTACCAACAAATTTACCCAGGCGGTAAAACTAAGCATTTAACAAAGTGAGTACAGATGTTTTTAAGTGAACAAATAGCGACTTCTCTTTTAAGCATAAAAAAAGCCTTGGGGGTGGAGTTCAAAGATATGATATTCTTTGACGACGAAGGGAGAAACATTAGAGACGTTTCAGAACTGGGAGTACTTTCCATACTTGTGAAAAATGGAGTAACAAAGAAAGTGGTCAATGATGCAATACAACAATTCTCTGCACAAAGGTCATAAATTTTATAAAGTTTAAGCAGAGATGGTTATTTGAGTAACAAACACAGGCACAGGCAAGGTAACGGCGGAAGCAGCCAATTGCGTCAGAACAAAGCCAAAGAACATATTTTTCCAGTATTTGTTTTCTATCAGATGTTAACTTATTTTGTTTTATTTTTGTAAATGTGTGGCGTCTTTAATTATTCCTTGTAAATTAAGTTCTTCAGATTGTTGAACTCTTTGTTTGTGTAAATTTCGTCATTGGAACTTACCTAAAAAAAATCATGAACTTATGTTGCATAGTATGTTAGATCTAACCTTTAACGCTAATACTTCCAGTACGGGGCTTAATTTGTTATCTAATAATAATGAATAGTAAATGATCGACTTCTCTAAATATAATCTACAAACCCGCTGCGTCATTCTAGTACAAATATTTAAACATTTACAATGCACATAATCGCCTTACACAAAAGTGGCGCGTTGAACAGAATAGGGAACACTCGTCTCTGGAAAATCAAACACCCTGTTTTCTTGTGGAAAACTTCGAATACAAAACCAAATTGTTTAAAAAATAAATATTGACATAACCTCAATTACACCGTGACGAATATCACACACCCCCACGTGACGTCAGGTTGGCATTACTTATCGTTTTTTAGTCATCAGTCCATCGAGCGTTGCTATAGTAATTCGGGTTTAAAAATAACCTCTTCACTTGAAAATTTTCTATATTTATGTGACGATGCACTTCTTTTTCCGATGAATTTTAAAATGAGACACACTTTCGAAATTAATCGAAACAAAATTCCCGAGTTGTAGCTAGCGCTTTGGTCTGTATGCACCATACGTCAGCTGTTATTGTTTACCAACTGATGAGGTGATTGCGCAAACCCCCTACCACCAGTTTATCTCACGCCACTCACTGCGTAACATCACAATGGTATAAAGTAGGAAGTGTAAATAGTGAATCAACACTTTAAATAGTTTTTGGTTAACAGTCATTTAAAAATTACTCCAGTGATCGATTTTTTCGAAAAATCGCGTAGTGACAGTTCCGCGATTGTACCATGAACTGAGTCTTCGAAGTATGCAAGGACGAAATTTGATTGTTTCTCAAACGAAATTAATGAGTCAGTTACGAAGTTATTTATCCAAGCTTGTAACGGATAAGACTGTCGACAATGCCTTCAACCAGGAAGTTGCACAGTTTTTACAAAAGTTCCAACCAACCATCAACAGTATTAGTTTTTGGAGATATTTTGACTCCCAGTCGGAGACAGCCCTCAAGAAAATCGACCCATCGGAGAAGGCAGAAGTGATCCCCGTGAAAGACAGTCCAAAGGAGCTTAAAAAAATCGTACCGAAATGGAAAGAAACAAGTGTCATAGTGAGTAAGGAAAGTGTGGCTGCACAAACTCACCATATCTTAACACTTATAACAACCGCGACCACAAACCAGTCAATACTGAAGAGAGTAGAAGACTTAAACACCCAATTAAACAAGCATGCCGATGCCAAACATATCGCAGAAAAAGCAAACGCTGTGAGACTGCTTTTAAGGCTACGACAAAAAACCACAAGCCACGAAATCCATAGTGCCACGAACGAAGCGCTGTCTTTGTTGGGGTACGCCAGTCCCGTCAAAGGAAGAGGAATCAGGGTCCTATCCATCGACGGCGGCGGTGTTCGTGGAATTCTCGTCATCGAAATGTTAAAAAAATTGGAAGAACTAACCGGTAAGCGCATTCAAGAGATGTTTGACTTGATTTGTGGCGTCAGCACGGGGGCTATCATCGCAAGTTTAGTAGGAGTGAAGCAACACACCCTGGACGAAATCTCCGAGATTTATAAAAACCTCAGTATTCAAATTTTCACGCAGTCTGCTTTGAAAGGTACAAGCAGCTTAGTCTGGAGTCACTCTTATTACGACACAGCTCTGTGGGAGAAGCTCCTTCAAGAAAAAATCGGCGACCAGACACTAATAAGCACGTCACGGAGCCTAGATTGCCCCAAACTTTGCATTCTTTCGGCAGTGATAAATCAGTCATCACTATCAGCCTACGTTTTTCGGAACTACACCCTATCGTGTCAGGTTCATTCAAAATACGACGGCAACCACAAACACATGATTTGGGAAGCCGTTCGGGCGTCGGCGGCAGCCCCCACGTACTTCGAGGAGTTCAAACTAGGCAACAAGCTGCACCAGGACGGGGGGATTTTATTTAATAACCCCACGGCTGTGGCTATTCACGAAGCGCGCCTACTCTGGCCTGAGACCCCCATTCAGTGCGTTCTTTCGTTTGGGACCGGGCGCACCATTCCTCTACCCGTCGACCCGAAAAATCTAAACTCCGTGAGTGCGTCATCCTGGAAGAGCAAATTTTACGCGGTTATTGAAAGCGCGACGGATACTGAAGGGGTTCACACCATGTTGTCTGATTTGCTTCCTGACAAAATTTATTACAGGTTCAATCCGTATCTAACCGAAATGCTAGATATCGCGGAGATTGATTCCAAAAAATTGGAGCAGTTGAGGAGAGACGCAGTCATGTATTTGAGGAGGAATGAGGACAAGTTTCAGGAGGCTGCGCGGATTTTGAATCACGAGAAGACGGCGAGTCAGAAGGTGGTTGATTGGTTGGGGTTGCAGAAGGAGATTCTGGGATTAAAAATGATAAGATAAGGGTGGGCTTGTATTATTGTATGTAACAAAATTAGAATATAAGTTGCTGCGGTAGTGGCGTGTTACCCGAGTTTTTGTTATTGTTTTTATTATTGCCGTGAAGATGTTCTAGGTAGATGTACCTAAGGTTTTGTTTATAGATAAGTTTTAAAAACCTACAAAAAATGTGATGCAAAGAATGTGATATTTGACTTAAGTAGAAAAAAGTATTTACTGTGTTGTAATGACGATATGCAAATAAATATTTTAGTTTTGATTAAATTTTTTTTATTTGTACTGATGGGTTTGGGGTAACTTGAAAAACTAGAAATTAAAAATAGAAGTGTCTAGATAAATTAATTGTTGGTGCCAGTAATTTAAATGAAAAATTCCGCTTTCAGTCTACATTGAGCTGAGGCCTAGGCTACGAAAATTATTGTTGCTATCTTGTTTACTGCATAAAATATCTGGAGGTGTGTCCCACACACGTGCCGCTGTACCTCTATTTTTATAAAATGTTGACACTGACACGTGTGTTTACAAAGGATTCAAGGATCAAGTGTCTACGTTTTATTATTGTTTTTTCTTAAAGCTCCAGAAATAATCTAAGAGATTTGCAAGGCCATTGTAAAACGAATAATGTTTATCTGAACCGTAAAAAGCAACGACAGTTGTTATTTATAGCCTGCAGTTCCGGCAATTATTTTTTGTTTCAATTCCAAGAATATAATATAGTCAGTATTAAGTAACTAGCTATCAATGATGTTGCCAGTTTGTTAACACCCCGAATTTTAGAAATAAGTGGACATAAATTCTGCATAATTTCTCCGGCACCGACTAGTGTTAAAAATCATTGTTTATTTATTAATTGCGCAATTGTACATCCTTGTGGCTTTATCAATCCGTGACTTCATTGCGTAGTTTGTAAGTGGTTGTCTCGCACTATTGTGCTGCTGAATCGTTATCATTTCCTCCTAATAATTAATAACACAAGCTAAAAAAAAAGCTTCAATCTGTTTTATTTTCTAAGCTAAACAAAGAGAAATATTGTAATAGCGTTTAATAATAATTTAATATCGGGAGTCCAAATAAACACGTTCACAACATTTCATATTAGAAAATCACTTGTCGGAGGGGGACAGTGGCGTCGAATGTGATTCATTTTTGTTTAAACAATAATTTCTCTTGGGTGAAATTACAAATAAAAATTTATGTACCCTTTCTGTTTACAAACACGTGGTTTTCACTAAAATGGCAAAACAAGTGACGTGGCAAAAACAGAAGGTGTGAGTGATGTCCTTTTATAATTATATTTTGCTTTTTTTTCTTAATATATATATATACTATTCTTTGAATAACACGATATTCAAAAACATGTTTTTAATTTCTTGTAAAGAAATAAGTATTTTGCAGTTAAGCTCCGCCCTCTTGGTTCTCGGCGAATAAAAAAATCATCGGAATAGCGATAGGGCGGGTGGGCGGGCTTACATTTTGCCTTTTTGTTTTAATTTGTGTAGACTTCTTTTCGCAACAAGAAACTTAAAACATGTTTAAAATGGAAAATTTCAATAAAGAAACATCGATTTTGCAATTAGGCTCCGCCCCATGTTTTATGTTTCTTGTTGTGAAAAGGTGGCTACGTATATTAAGTAAAAAAAGCAAAATATAACCCCCGCCCACCCACCCGGTCCGAATTCTGATGATTTTTTTTATTCGTCGTGAGCCAAGGGGGCGGAACTTGACTGCAAAATCCTTATTTCCCTACGAGAAATTAAAAACATGTTTTAGAGTATCACCCATACCTGCCGTGATCTAAATATGCAGTAATCAAGTTTTCATTCGTTGCTAGAGCTAGGGGCGGAGCCTAATTGCAAAATAATTGAAATAGGGTGGGTGGGCGGGGTTTATATTTTGCCTTTTTTTCTTAATATACATTGTATTATTTGACCAACACGATACTCAAAAACATGTTTTTAATTTCTTGTGAAGAAAAAAATATTTTGCAGTTAAGCTTCGCCCCCCTGGTTCAAGGCGAATAAAAAAAATCATCACAATGGAGATAGGGCGGGTGGGCGGGCTTATATTTTGCCTTTTTGTTTTAATATGTGTAGACTTCTTTTCACAGTATGAAATTTACAACACGTTTAAAATGGAAAATTTGTACATATAAGGAAATATCGATTTTGCAATTTGGCTCCGCATTTTAACCATGTTTAAAGTTTCTTGTTGTGAAAAGATGGCTACGTATATTGAAAAAAAAAAGGCAAAATATAAGCCATTTTTTCAAATATAATATGGTCTGATTTTTTCCGACAAAATTTGTGACACAAATTACCGAGTAGCTGTTGCGACGAAAATCACACGAGTCGACGAAGGAGACGAGTGTGATTTTCCAAAAGCAACAGCTACGAGTTAATTTTCACACAAATTTTGCAGAAAAAATCAGATCACGAGTTATATTCGGCTTGACAATCCAAAGAGAAAATTTTTATTTACTTTTTACGGACAATAATTCACATAATTTATAGTTAGCATAGTAGTTGAGTAACCATACCTACCCAGTCTAAATAGTAACAAAACAACAAGACAAAACGTAAATAAATTTCTAAACATCAAATTTTGTGTGTGCTGCTGGTTGATTTTCTTAATTATGGGAGCAAGATTTGGTAACAAGACTGTGTTTGAAATTCGAAATGCAGTGAAAGAAAGTCAGTGCCGAAACACTGCAAGAACGCAAGATTCAATTTGGAAGCAGTTTACAGAATTTTGTGAAATACGCAAGTTTTCTCTAAATAAAGCAGTCGAAATGAACGAGGTGGGCAGTATTTTGGAAGATTATGTCTTTAACGCCAACAGAAAAGTAATTTGTATTATCATTTTTTTATTAAAGTTCATTTGACAAGTTTGACAAATTAATTTGACATAATTTATTTCGCTGAAAAACAGTGTTGTTGCCTGACAGAAGAATGTTTTTTCACTGAAAAAATTTTTCGGTGAATGCCATTGGACAAATTTCAAATAATTCTGCCATTGTATTGGTTAAGAATTTTCGAATTGGATTGTCATAACAAAAATTCCATTTGACAACAATGTTTGCCTGATACATCCTGATATAAAGCGAAGGGACAAATCAGCAAAAATCGAGTAAGCAGTTAAAAATGTTTGACGTATCAAAAATTGTCAAAGTTTTCAAAACCCTACGTTTAAAATGTTCGCAGTTAATTTGAGGTCCTCAGGTGTTTTATTTTCGGATAAATTTAAAGGAATCTGGTAGTTTGTTGCTGGATAAACTTGAAAAATATTTTGAGCCTTTGGTGTTTTTATTTTTTATGAATTTGAAAAAGCCTTGAGTGCCGCAGTGTTTTTGGGTATCCATGGTGTATCATTTTGGGAGCCTATGGAGACTTTTTTTGTAAATTATTTAAACCAATTTTGGGGGACTTTGGTGTTCTATTTTTGGAAAAGTCTGTCTTACTGACCTGTTTTTGAGTTAATTTTGGGACCCTGTTTTTTTTTGAAAAATTTTAAACAATCTTGGGGATCTAGGTATTCCTGTTTGGAAGGAATTTGTGCTTTGGAGCCTCTAGTGTCTTTTCTTATAATAATTTAATTAAATTTCTTAGAGGATATAGGTTTTTGATTTTTCAATTTTTCGATTTTTTTAAGGTTTCGATATTTCGACTTCACTTTTTTGATTTTTCGATTTCTCAATTTTTCGATTCTTTAGGTTCTCAATTTTTGGATATTTCAGTTTTGGGGTTTTTCAGTTTTTCGATGTTTCAGTTTTGGGATTTTTCAATATTTCTGTTCTTCGACTTTTCCATTTTTGACTTCTGGACTTTTCGATGTGTCGACTTTTTATTTTTTCGATTTTTAAATTTTACATTTCTCAAATTTTTAGTATTTTAATTTTTCAATATTTAAAATTTTAGATTTTTAGATTTCTCGATTTTTCATTTTAGCTCTTCCATATTTCAATTTTTCAAATGTTTCGATCTCTTAATCTTTCGATTTTTCGACTTTCCGGTTTTAGATTTTCTGTTTTTCAATTGTCATTTTTCAATTTTTCGATTTTTGAATTTTCGATTTTTCAGTTTTTTGATATTTTAATTTTTCAATATTTAAAATTTTAGATTTTTCGATTTCTCGATTTTTCATTTCAATTCTTCGATATTTCAGTTTTTCAAGTTTTCGAATTTTTCAAATGTTTTAATTTCTTAATCAATCGATTTTTCGACTTCCCGGTTTTAGATTGTCTATTTTTCAATTGTCGTTTTTTCAAATTTTCGATTTTTCAATTTTCAAATTTGACATTTATAAACTGTCAATTTTTCGATTTTTCAATTAATCGATGTTTTGATTTATTGCTCAATTTTTCGACTTTTTAGGTTCTGAGTTTTTGGATATTTCAGTTTTCGGATTTTTCAGGTTTTCCATTTTTCAGTTTTTATTTCATTTCTCAGTTTTTGAATAGTTCAGTTGTGGGATTTTTCAATATTTTGATTCTTCGACTTTCCCATTTTTGGCTTCTGGATTTTTCGATGTGTCGATTTTTTTACTTTTTCGATTTTTAAATTTTAGATTTTTTAATTTTTAGAATTTTCAATGTTTCGATTTCTCGATTTTTCAATTCAGTTCTTCGATATTTCAATTTTTCAAGTTTTCGAATTTTTCAAATGTTTCGATTTCTTAATCTTTCGATTTTTCGACTTCCCGGTTTTAGATTTTCTGTTTTTCAATTGTCATTTTGTCAAATTTTCGATTTTTTAATTTTTCAAATTTGACTTTTATAAACTCTCAATTTTTCGATTTTTCAATTAATGGATGTTTTGGTTTCCCCATTTCTTGACCTTCGTGTGTTTCGATTTTCCTGTTCTTCCAATTCTTTAATTTTTTTATTTTTCAGGTTTTTTATTTTTCAATGTATCGATTTTTTAAGGTTTCTATTTTTCGACTTCACTCTTTTGATTTTTCGATTTTTCAGTTTTTAGATATTTCAGTTTTAGGATTTTTCAATACTTCAATTCTTCGGCTTTTCTATTTTTGACTTCTGGGTTTTTCGATGTGTCACCTTTTTACTTTTTCAATTTTTGGATTTTTGAATTTTAGATTTTTCAATCTTTTGATATTTTAATTTTTCAATATTTCTTAATCTTTCTATTTTTGGACTTCCTGGTTTTAGATGTTTCTATTTTTCAGTTATCCGATTTTTTAAATTTGGGAGTTTCGATTTCTCGATTTTTCGTTATTCGGTTTTTAATTTTTTGATTTTTAAATTGTACATTTTTTCGATTTTCAGTTCTTCTATATTACGATTTTTCAATGTTTCGGTTTTACGATTTTTTAGGTTTCGATTTCTCGATTTTTTTAATTGTTCATTTTTTTTCACACTGTCAATATCATGCAGTGTATCGAAAACAACCACAAAAATTGTCACTAAAAACATTAAAAAAAAATTCATGCAAAATAGAACAGTGTTTCCAAAACGTTTTCCCGAAAAAAAATCCATTGGGTTATTACGATTTCAACAATATTCTTAGTTTAAGACGTTTTGCTAGAATAAAATACAAATAAAGAATTAATTCTTAGTTAAACAAAATATGTAAAATCATCTAAATATGTACCAAAAATATTCACTTAGTCGTTATAAAAACCAACCAAACAACTATTTCCCGCAGAAATTATAGTCTAAACCAACCAAATCGCTTCTGAACGCTTAGAGTCGACATTGGCTTGAGCGCGTTCTGGTCTGTAAATCAAACAAGTTCTAAATTTGGCGCTTGCCTTTGGCGGTTGAGGACTCCAATGTCAATAAGGGTGGTTTTGCAAAATCTGTGGTAGAACAGATTGGATAGATTCAAAGACTTTAGGTAATATTCATATCCACAGCATCCACTTTAATACTGTAGGGTGTTTTTCAGTGTTTGCTGGTACACAGGAATAAGTGGTTAAGAAAAGAAGACCACAGTAAATAAAGTTGGTTTCACAAAAAACGGGAAAAATCAGGTTCTCATAGATCAATGAAAAGCAATGGGAATATGACGTTCATGTCACTGTCATTTGTCCCGTTTTTTTTTTGAAACCAGCTGTATGTGATCATTTTCTGCTGAAGAAAATTTAACAGTATGAGTGCGCCAACAGATGAGCGTTTTATTGACGATTTGATCAGAAACTCATCAGTTATTTGTACAACGCGAACACAAGGATCAGATTTTATTTTTTGGTTTCTAGAATATCCAGACTCATTCTGCTCTAGAGGATCTCAGCTGATGAACTTGGACACGTTTCCATTGAAGAGGATCCACTAGATATTGAAAATGTTTGCCTTCCAAGACCCCACATTAAGTGTTAATATACAAGAATTGAAAGTAATTTTAGACAGAAATGTGCAGGAGCACCAATCAATTTAAGTCAAATGGACTGTATAGTGTATAGTTTCTTAAATAAATGTATTTTATTATTTCATATGTAGTTTTGCTCTTCCCTGAAATTGACGCCCTTGCAGGGGTGTTATTTACGCCACTGGAGCGAGGGAAGTTCTGTCGACCAATATTTTTGTTTATAATTATTAGATTTGGTGGGAAATGCTTGAAAACATTACAACAATAGCAGTAATTAAAGTACAATCAAACCTAATAGCGCATAAAATTCGTTCCCCTGTAATAAATAAATTCCGGGTCTTCAATCAAAATTGGGAAATTTATATAATAACGTGGATTTTCGCTCGGCTAATAGGATCATAGAAAGTGAAAGAGGTCTCAAAACTGCGATAATTACTCCTGCTTTGACATTTGTTGCAGGTTTCTGTAATAGAACTGTCAGCTGTCACATATTATTATGGCCACATGATGGCGCTGCGATCGAGTAATCACCATAGATAAAATAAAACCATAATATAGAACGCAAAGTCCCTAAGAAATTTTGGGTACAGCGCCACCTATCCGCGTGGTGACGGTGCAAAACCACGACCTCCCAGGACTTTACATTTATTTTATTTTTTTTTATTTTTTCGCACTTTTACAGAAAAGAAAATGCTACGAATACTTTCGATTTTTTATTTTTAACCTTTTGTTATACAATTCCGAGGCTTTTTTATAAACATTATTAGTAAATATTTTTGTTCGCGTATCTTTACCGCTTAAAATTAAATTCAACCCTTTAACATAAGTAAATATTGTTAAAGAAACCATTTTGTCTATAATTTCTTCTTCAATTTTGTTTTTGTGCTCACAGGTGAATGAAAAATTAATGTGATATCGAAGGACAGTTAAAATTTTGATTTTAATATTATTTGCCGAGGTAATGTTACTTAAAATAATTTTGGAAATATTATATATTTTGTTGAGGTTTTTTATAAACTCTAAATTGCAATATGTTAATTTTCGACGTGTTGGGTTATATTCTCTTGTACTGATCAATTCATGGCATGGCTCATTTTCGGAATATTGACCAACTATGTGAGATTTACATACTGAACACTCTAAATTTTTTAAAGTTTTACAGATCCAACCGGACACATATCCAATAACGCTTTGGTGTAAATTTTTTTCTAATTCAAATGCCGAAAGATTTGATATGTACCTGTTGACATTAAAGGTTTCATAAAAAATTTCGTTGTTTTGATCATTATTACTACACTGGCTAATTTTATCTATTATTCCACGTACATTAAATAAATCGGGAATATTTGTACTTTCACAATTTGTACCTATTGATTTTGATCCACAAAAATTTCGAATTAAAAATGATTTAAAATTGTCTCTAAATTGTAAAGCTGTTGGATTTGTGGCTCGGCTTCTTTGACTTCGAATTTTTCCAAAATAATTTTCAATGACATCCTGATTTAGAGCACGAGGTAAAAAAAACTTACACTTGCCACCTTCTATCAAAATCTTATATAAATTTAAAAATCCTTCCAACGTTTTGATCCAATTCTTTAGAGAAGGGGGTACTGTTTTCTGTCCATTACTATCTACAAAATACATATTGCCCAAGTGTTGAATAGCTTCTTTCCAAAATTTTGTATGTCCCGAATTTCTGTAAACCCCACCAGAAAAAGGCTTTCCACAGCGTGGACGAAGTGTTCCTCCATTTATGCTATCGAATAGTTGGTCAAAAAATTTTATAATCCTTGCAGTTCCCAGGGTTTCTCGACTTAATTTGGTATTACCTATTAAATATACATATTATACATCAGGTTATTACCTACAGTGATTTTACCAATTACCACTCTCAACTAATAGTTTTATAGTTGACGCCATCGAATGACTCAACACTTGAGTTGCATATGCCACTTTCATTTTTGGAATTTTGTCTGGTATTACATGCAGGTCCGTAATTTTATATAGTGCTCTTAATTCGCCACACGCTGAATCATTGACATAAGCTTCCACAATATCATCCCATTTTGCTACTAAAATTTCGTCATTTACTTCCCAAACCAAATTCTTCGTTAACATATTGTTTCTTATCCCCTTTATCAAATGAGGCCCGTCATACAATGGTATAATTTCTTGTTCTTGTACTATAATTTTTCTTTCTAATTGCCGACTAGATTCTTCGTTAATTTTGAATGTTTCCTTTATTAACATATTTACACCTGCTTGGTTTGTTGGTCCCTGGTCACAAACTGTAGCGATAACGGTTAACCCACAATTTTGAACTTTTTGAATCAAAAATTTCAATAAACTGGCTATACGCGTAGATTTGGTTGTAGATGACGAAAATCCGCAATAAATAGGTTGCTGCCATTTCTTAAAAAGCCCAGCGAGAAAAAATACAAGAGCGTGATCCGCAATTTCTAAACTTTGTTCCTCACCAAAATCTTGAAATCCATAAAATTTATCACTACTTTTTTCGTAATCAATATGAGGCATTATGGCCATTTCATCAAAAATCATGCTACAAATTTTATCTCTTTCTTTCAATTTTAACACAGCTTCCCTCAAGTTATCAAACACTAATTTATTAAATCCAGGATTAATTGAGACCTTATTCAACATCGACATAACTGTTTGTCTAGTTGGAAGAGCAAAAAACTGTCTTAATTTTGAATAACCCCGTCCTGTGTATTTGTGTAAGCAGAGTGCAAAAATTTTCTCTTCAGTGGTGTACCTGCGTCCTCTTGGTTTCACATTTCTTTTTCTCAACTGACTCAGACAAAAATTTATAGCGTCCTGTCCTAATACTTTGCTGTTCAGTTTCATTTCAAATTTCGAAAATATTTTCAAACGTTGGCGGTAAGATGCTGCTCTAATTTTATCTCTGCGATTTGGAGGTTTAAAGTGGGACGAACATGTGGATGAAGTGGCAGGAATCTTTCTTAGTTCAGGAGAAGTCCTGTTTTCCAAATCTAAATTCGGTATTATACTGTCTTCCGATATATTGACTTGTTCACCCGAATGCGTGGGCAAATCGCTTAGTGTATTATTAGCAATTTCTAAAAAAATAATTGTTTTGTATTTAACTACTTGGTTAAATACTTAAAGTTACCATTTGGAATCAGTATACTAGGCACAGCAATGTTCCGTAGTTGTTTACCGTTTAGAAAATCAGATGCGGTAAAGTGCAGACTACAAACCCGGTGTGATTTATAAACCTGCGTTGGATCTAATGTTTGGAGCGCAGGATTTTGGATCCGTTTCAGCCATTCCCTGAACCGTGTTTGGTCTTTTAAGGGATTAGGAAACCTGTGCCCCTTAGCACCAACACTGTAGCACTTGTGGACGCTACACAGCCTCATTTTAAACAGCTAGTTACTCAAATAATAAATAGACAGAAGCACTGACAATGACAGTATTCAAAAATTTTTTTGAATAAAAGTCAAATTCCCGGTTGCGCCAGCTATTGGCGTGGTGACGGTGCGCAAAAAAATTTCTTAGGGACTTTGCGTTCTATATTATGGTTTTATTTTATCTATGGTAATCACGCGGCTGTTATCGCCTTTCGCCACCTCTTCGACGATCTGTGATCCTGGTCCAAAGCTGAGCATCGAGGCTCGCCGGCTTTAGCACTGCCAGCATGGATTTAGCACCGACAGCATATATTTTCGCTCGACCAAGCTCGCCCGTCTAATAGGATCACAGACAGTCGAGGAGGTCTTGAAATTACTACCAGAAACCTTGTAATAGGCGCAAAAATTAGGCAACCCAAAAAACACATGCTATAACTAACGCACCGATTTTAGTTATTTTGTTTAAATTAAATAAATATATTTCGTTAAATGTTTACTGGCGTTGCATGAAAATCAACAATTCTTTTAAACTTTTATTTTGTATTAGAAATAAAACTGTAGAACGTATGATGTATAAAAGCATTTATTCACACAAAGACAACACTTATAATGCATTCACAAAATAATATTCCTTTGTACAGTACTTTACAATTCCTTATCAAAAAATACAATTCACAATCACAATTCATGTTTTAAATATTGTAAACTTAATGCTAACAAATGTATCACTAAATCATAACAAAAGACTAGTTAACGTGAATTAGCAGAAATGGACGTTAATAGAAATAAACAAAATTCGAAAAATATAATAATTATAGTGTTAAGAGTCTATAGGTATAGTCAGAATAAACGAAGAAATACGAAATAAAAAAAATTGCACGTATCAAACCAAACTCGTATGTTTACCCTGCCTATCCTCCTAGTTAATAAAATTGCCCTAAACGAATCAAAAGTGATGTTAATATGGAAAACATAATTTGCTAGAGAACAATTTGTTATGAAGCGATTACTTTTCGGGCGTTTTCCTAATCGGAGTTAATCTCAAACCTTTAGCGAGCATCTGTTCTTCGAAATCCCGATCTTCGTTAGAATACCTGCAAAAGGGAAGTTCTTGTAACCTCTGTAACTACGAAATCCCAACGACAAGAGTCAAATGAACATGCCTTACCTATTCTACAAGCTTGCCGCTAGGAGAATAGGTGCTCTATAATGTTTAAACTAAAAATGCGTGCAAGTGTTAACGGAAAGCGACTTAAAGAAAATGTTAATGGAGGTAAACGTCAAAATCGATACTGGAAAGACCCCAATGCACAACTAAGCCCCACACGATATAAGCAAAGAGTAAAAGCAAGCATGCGAGTATGGAGATTCTCTGGTGTTCAGGCTGCCGACCGGTCGTCAGATGAGGTGCTGAATCTCTACGTCTACTTAAACACCTTAAGCGGTCTTCCTCTAACAGAGCGATCAAAGAGTCTCTCTTCGCTACGATCTCCATCATTTCGTTGATGATACTGCCCTCGATTTCGACTTCCTCCTGCGTTTTTTGTTCCTCTGAAAGAACAAAAAATGTGTATACGATCGACTTTATGTATAATATTTTAGTTACCATTTTCTAGTCGTTCTCTCAACTCGTGCTGCAACCTAGCATGCCGGTCCTCCAGTTCCAATTCCTGCGCCCGAACCATCAACTCCCTCTCGTACCGCCTCAGCTCAGTCCTATCTCTCATCAAATCGAACCACTCTTGCAACAACTCGGATTCTTCTTTGGGATAGCGACCCTCGACTTCGCCTCTGAGTGCCTTCTCCACTAAAACCCCCCTTTCTTCCAATTCGCGCGTCTTCACTTCCGTCTCTTCGAGTTTTCGTTGTATTTCTTGCGCCATACGATGTCTGTCGAGTTAGTTTTGTTAATTAGTTTAGTTAGTTAGTCAACACACTAACAAACTTTAGTTTTGTTAAGTTGTCTACTAGGTAAGTATGGGGTGTTTACCGTTTTAACTGAGCCTGGCGAGCCAATTTCCGAGCACTTTTACTCATTCGGTTGTTCGAGAGACTTGAGACCGAGTCGAGAGTCCCGGACTTGTCCAGAGTATCGCATGAGCTCCGGTCGTGCCGCTTCCAGTCGTGCTCTCCATCAGAACTGTCATCTGTCGTAAATTAAAGTTAATTTTAACAATTTTCTTGTATCTACGAACGCCAGAATGTATAAAACTAACTCAAACGTCTCCTTTTCCTAATCTGAGACGATTCTGCATGCTCTAAGTGTGTTTCGTCGCTCAGAATCATCAAAAAATGTTGAAATATAGTTCAGATTTAACAAAAATCGACAAAAATACTGTTTCTAGTTAAAATTTGATCGTTTCGTTGCTCTTTCCGAGACCGTTGGGTGTCTGATTGGCTTAAAACTACAAGAAAACGCTACAAAAGTGACGCTTCTGAAGAATTTTAACAATTTTCTTGTATCTACAAACGCCAAAATTGACCCAAACTTCTCCGGAAGGTCAAAGAGTACAGAGGAAGCAGAAGAGGGTACAAGCAGGAGACATGGACGAAGTAAAGAATATGTTCAAAACGTTAATGGAGGAAATCGCAGGAATGAAAAGAGACCAAAGAGCATACCAAACAGAAGTAACAACACTAAGGGAAGAAAAGTAAAGACTGACCGAAAGATTAGAAAGAGTGGAGCAACACTTAGAAAAACTGGAAAAAGCAGAAAGGAGAAACAACATCGTAATCAAAGGAGGGAAACTACAAGGAAGCGAAATAACAGCAGGGGTTGAAGAACTCCTAAAAAATAAGGTAGGAATCCAAACTAAGATACAAGACGCAAGATTAGTCAGCGAAAAATACGACATAGTAGTAGCAAAGATAGAGAACTGGGACACAAAAAGAGCAATCATGAAACAGAAGAACAAATTAAAAGGATCAAAAACGTTTATTGAAGACGATTACACCAAACAAGAGAGCGAGATACAGAAGAAAATAAGAGGAATAGCAGCAGCAGAAAAAGGGAAAGGAGTCGAGGCAAAAGTAGGGTACAAAAAGATGATATGGGCAGGAGAAGTCTGGCATTGGGACACTAAATTAGACAAATTAGTGAAAGCACCGTCGCACCCCAAAGAAAAAATCCAAAAAACTAACAGAGGAAGAAACCACACACCGGAAAACAATGACGACGTATGCAAAGCTCATGGATGACCCGATAGGAATTACGAAGAGAAAGAAAAACCCGAAAATTAGAATAGGAACATGGAATGTTCGAGGAACATATAGCGAAGGAAAACTCAAACAAATAGTTCAAGAATTACAAAGGTATAATATAGATGTAGCAGCTATACAAGAGACGAAACAAAAAGGCAAATTCATCACTGAAATAGACAACTACATATTATTTAATAGCGGAATTGACAACAGAGAACTAGGAACAGGATTCATGGTGAAGAAGAGCCTGAAAGGAGTAGTAATTACTTTCAAACCAATCTCAGAAAGAATGAGCTATATAAGATTGAGAAGTAAGTACAGGAAAATAAGCCTACTGAATATACATGCACCGACTGAACAGAAAGATCTAGAAGTAAAAACAGAATATTACGAAGAACTAGAAAGAGAAGATGTGAAAATACCAAAGCATGACATTAAAATGGTTATAGGAGACGCCAACGCAATGATAGGTAAAGAGAATTGCTACAGGCCAACAATCGGGAAAGAAAGCAAACACCAAAAAACGAATCAAAATGGAGAAAAACTGATAGAGTTTGCAGAAGAACATAAAATGGTAGTCAAAAGCACCTTCTTTGCGCAGAAAGAGATCTACAAAGGCACATGGATGTCGCCTGACGGAAAAACGGTCAACCAAATATACCACATACTGGTAGAAAGGAGAGATGCCCAACTAATAATCAGATTAAGAAGCTACAGGGGAGCAGAAGCGAATTCAGACCACTTTCTAGTAAGAGCAGACCTCAAACAAGAAATACCGAAGAAAAAAGAAGGAAAGAAGACGCAACGTGATATAAATGTAAACAAACTTAAGAAAGCTGAAGTACAACAGGAATACGAACAAAAGATGAATGAGAGAATAAGATCAACAGAGCAAGACATACCTATAGAAGAGAGGTGGGAAGAACTACAAGAGAACATATGGAAGACCTCGGAAGAAGTACTACGGTTCGTCAAAAAAGACAACAAAAATAGAAACGAATGGTTTGACGAGGAATGTAGAAAAGCAATAGAAGCGGGGAGGTCAGCCAGACAGAAATATCTAAAATCAAAAAATGAGAAGAACCAAAAAGATTAACAAGAAAAAAGGAAAGAGTACAAGAAGATATGCAGAAATAAGAAACGAGCAAAGATGGAAGAACAAATACGACAAATAGAAGAAAACTTCAACAAGAATGAAATAAGGAACTTCTACCAGGGCGTGAAAAAAGAGAAAAGAGGCTATCAACCACGAGTAATATATTGTAAAGACAAGGACGGCAACCTGATAGGAGACGAACGAGCAAGAATAAAACGATGGGCAGAATACTTTGAAGAGCTGCTAAACGAACAGGATACACAGCAAGATACGAACGAAAGAGTGAACGACTCGGATGACCCAGAAGAAACAATAGAAATTGACGAAGGAGAGATCAGAGAAACACTAAGGCAGATGAAAAACAACAAAAGTCCTGGTAGAAACGGAATAAAGGGCGAGATGGTAAAGTACGAAGGAGAAGCAGTAGCAGCAGAGATACATCGACTAGTGCTAGAATGTTGGAAGGAAGGAAAAATGCCAGAACAATGGAGTGAAGCAGTATTTTGCCCTATATTTAAAAAAGGAGATATTACGAAATGCGAAAATTATCGTGGAATAGCGCTGCTAGACGTAACGTATAAGGTAATGGCCACTTGCATCAACCGAAGACTAAAGCAGCATATGGAAAAAATAGTGGGAGAATATCAAGCAAGGTTTAGGAAAAATAGATCTACTATAGACCAGATATTTATATTAAATCAACTACAAGAAGTACATTACGAACAGGGAATCAACTTATATCTGCTGTTCATAGACTTTAAAAAAGCCTATGACACGGTTAACAGGAAAGAACTGCTAGAAGCCATGTAAGAACTGGGAGTCCCAAGAAAACTAATAAAACTGACAAAGATGACCCTGTAGAGCACCAGAAACAGAGTCAGGATAAATGGTCTGTTGTCAGAACCATTCCAAGTAAGAACAGGACTCTGGCAAGGAGATCCAATATCGACTCCCTGTTCAACCTAGTACTCGAAGCAATAATAAGGAGAAGTGGCATCCACAGAACGAGCACGATATACGAAAAAAGACACCAAAATATAGCCTTTGCAGATGACGTGACATGTATAACGAGAACAGACGCAGAAATGAAGAAAATGACAAAAAATCTAATCAGAGAAGCGAAACGAATGGGTTTAGCGATCAACCAAGAGAAAACGAAGTTTATGAAGATGGAAACAAAACAAACCCCAGCAAAACCACTGAAAGTAACTACAGAAGAAGGAACAACATACGAATTCGAAGAAGTAAATAGGTTCAAATATCTAGGAGTAGTAATTACAAATAAAAACGAAATGAACGAAGAGATAGAAGAACGGATCGCGAATGCAAACAAGAGTGTAGGAAGATTAAACAGATTTCTGAGTAGTAAGAATGTAACACGACGAACAAAGAAACAAGTATATAAGACAATAGTAAGACCTACAGTCCTGTACGCTAGTGAAACATGGACACTAACGAACGAAAAGGAACAGAAGTTGGCAGTATGGGAACGCACGATACTACGAAAGATATATGGAGGTATAAAAGAACTAGACCAATGGAGAAGAAGAACAAACCGAGAGATCGAGGAAATATACGGAGAACCAACAATCACGAAGATAATCAGAGCACAGAGACTAAGATGGCTAGGTCACGTCGGAAGAGCACCAGAGGAAAGGACAATTGGGAAAGTATTAGACCGCTTAAAAGGAGGAAAGAAAAAGAGAGGAAGGCCAAAACTGAAGTGGATAGACGATGTTCGAAAAGATCTTCAAAACTTAGGCATTGAAGATTGGAGATCCAAAGCAGCCGACAGGAACAAATGGAAAATTATTGTTAAAAAAGCCCAGGGTCTTTAAGGCCTGCAGAGCTGAATTATATATACGAACGCCAGAATGCATAAAATTGACCCAAACGTCTCCTTTTCCTAATCTGAGACGATTCTGCATGCTCTAAGTGTGTTTCGTCGCTCAGAATCATCAAAAAATGTTGAAATATAGTTCAGATTTAATAAAAATCGACAAAAATACTGTTTATAGCTAAAATTTGATGGTTTCGTTGCTCTTTCCGAGCCCGTTGGGTTTCTGATTGGCTTAAAACTACAAGAAAATACTTCAAAAGTGACGTTTCTGAAGAATTTTAACAATTTTCTTGTATCTACGAACGCCAGAATGCATAAAATTGACCCAAACGTCTCCTTTTCCTACTCTGAGACGATTCTGCATGCTTTAAGTGTGTTTCGTCGCTCAGAATCATAAAAAAATGTTGAAATATAGTTCAGATTTAATAAAAATCGACAAAAATACTGTTTCTAGCTAAGATTTGATGGTTTCGTTGCTCTTTCCGAGTCCGTAGGGTTTCTGATTGGCTTAAAACTACAACAAAACACTTCAAAAGTGACGTTTCTGAAGAATTTTAACAATTTTCTTGTATCTACGAACGCCAGAATGCATAAAATCGACCCAAATGTCTCCTTTTCCTAATCTGAGACGACTCTGCATGCTCTAAGTGTTTTTCGTCGCTCAGAATCATCAAAAAATGTTGAAATATAGTTCAAATTTAACAAAAATCGACAAAAATACTGTTTCTAGCTAAAATTTGATGGTTTCGTTGCTCTTTCCGAGCCCGTTAAGTTTTTGATTGGCTTAAAACTACAAGAAAACGCTACAAAAGTGACGTTTCTGAAGAATTTTAACAATTTTCTTGTATCTACGAACGCCAGAGTGCATAAAACTAACCCAAACGTCTCCTTTTCCTAATTTGAGACGATTCTGCATGCTCTAAGTGTGTTTCGTCGCTCAGAATCATCAAAAAATGTTAAAATATAGTTCAGATTTAACAAAAATCGACAAAAATACTGTTTCTAGCTAAAATTTGATGGTTTCGTTGCTCTTTCCGAGCCCGTTGGCTTTCTGATTGGCTTAAAACTACAAGAAAACACTTCAAAAGTGACGTTTTTGAAGAATTTTAACAATTTTCTTGTATCTACGAACGCCAGAATGCATAAAATTGACCCAAACGTCTCCTTTTCCTAATCTGAGACGATTCTGCATGCTTTTAGTGTGTTTCGTCGCTCAGAATCATCAAAAAATGTTGACATATAGTTCAGATGTAATAAAAATCGACAAAAATACTGTTTCTAGCTAAAATTTGATGGTTTCGTTGCTCCTTCCGAGCCCGTAGATTTCTGATTGGCTTAAAACTACAAGAAAACACTTCAAAAGTGACGTTTCTGAAGAATTTTAACAATTTTCTTGTATCTACGAACACCAGAATGCATAAAATTGACCCAAACGTCTCCTTTTCCTAATCTGAGACGATTCTGCATGCTCTAAGTGTATTTCGTCGCTCAGAATCATCAAAAAATGTTGAAATATAGTTCAGATTTAATAAAAATCGACAAAAATACTGTTTCTAGCTAAAATTTGATGGTTTCGTTGCTCTTTCCGAGCCCGTTGGGTTTCTGATTGGCTTAAAACTACAAGAAAACACTTCAAAGGTGACGTTTCTGAAGAATTTTAACAATTTTCTTGTATCTACGAACGCCAGAATGCATAAAAATAACCCAAACGTTCCCTTTTTAATTAACTCCCTCCCTTTGGAAGGAACGCGGAATAGTCAGTCACGTTACTCACCAGTGCCTTTGATCGAGTGTCCTGTGTAATTGAGCGGTAATGGCGGCACCGGAGGCGGCGAGCTATTGTCGATCATAGGCCGTTGCCTCACCTCCGAGAAGCTGTTTCGTCGGACCGGCTCTTCAATCACCACGTCCTGTTAACAATGACTTTCAATTCTCTCGATTTTGACACGCGAGAAAAAAAATTCTACAAATTAACTGTACTTGAATACGAAAAACTACAGATGAATGATGGTGTCGAGATGAGTACATGCAACAATAAAGTAAAACCCAATGCAAAAAACGAGGAAAGACAGGCGTGCAAAGAAACCAAACGACACACAAAAATACACATAGTTAAAAAAAAATAATAAATTCTTACAGGATCTCTCAGGTCCAGATTCGCACACGACTGTAAAATACATAATCCAGTTAAAATGTTGTAGACCGTTTAAGCTCGTATTAGTCATCGACATTGTACAAGTTAATAAAACAAATAAATAAATAAATAAAAATGATGGTGATGACTCAATGACTAGTAGCTTCGGTAACAGTTACCTTTGAAACGTCTTTGGCTTTAGGCGAAATCCTAGACAAGAACCCTCTACCGTTGCCCGGGGGACTCTTCTTCGAGAAGAACGTCGTAAACAGCTTAGTAATACTTTTCCTCCTCTCTTTATCTTTGTTCTTCTTCTTCCCCTTTTTGGAATCCATGTCCAGGAGATTCGGATCCGACTTACAAATCTTCTCCACGCTCTTAATACTCTTACTTAAGTCTCCAACCGACATCACGGTATCCTCCCCACTCTTCGACCTCGTAAACAAACCCTCTCGCTTATTCAAAGCCTCAGTGGAGTGCAAAAACGACTCAATTTTAGCCACCTTGGGGACATCTTCTTTCTTACTCAATTTTTCCTTCAACTTTAGTAGTTTATCTTCAGGGCTCAAACCTAACTCTTCGTTTGACAACAATCGAGCCCTTACGCGAGCCTCCTGCTTTAGTTTCTCGGCTGTCCGCTTCGCTTCTTCATGTTTAAGTCTAGGAGGCGCCACTGGAGTTATAAACTCCTCAGAGAACAACTCTTGCCTCACATCAGGTAGGCTAGGATTCTCCTTAATCGGCTCCTCATTGGTCAAACGTTCCGTTTGAGTCACATGGAAACTGACAGGTCGCGACAGTGGCGTAACAAACTGGTCACTCTCGGGTGACTTCAAAGTCGACAAAAGAACATCAGGGGTAGCATACACGCTGGAACCACTGGAATACGTTGAATTTCGATTCGAATCGTCCAAGTTGTGGTTAATTTCAGACACGACGTCAGTCGTAGCCGACCTAGACAACTCAAACTGTCGACTTCGACGTCGTTTCCTCTCCAAACTTTTATTCTCGGCTTTCATTTTATTCATCACCATTTCTTGCACCAACTTCTGGTTCACGTCTCTCTCCTTTTCGATGACGTCTTTTCGGTAGATGACGTCAGGTGTTCGGACAGTGGGTGACAGTTGAAGCGTGAAGTTCGGACTCGGAGGCGGCGACTGCATTTCTTCTTGAATGAGATCGGGTTTCTGGGGCGAATCTTTACTCTTTCGGCGCGACTTTCGCACATCTATCGAATCTTTCACGTTACTAAACTCAAACTTCGACTGGAGTCGTTGACAGTGTTCGTCGAATTCCACATTGTCGACGTTGTTGTGACTAGATTGTTTGGAAGCTTGTTCGGCTTTCAACTTGGCGAGTTTCTCTTCGAGTCGCTTCTTCTGGAAGTTGTTGTTTTCGATCGGGTCTTCCCGTCGCTTGTCGGTCGATATTTCGGTCAGATTTTTGACAGTCGAGTCGCTGCACGTGTTTTCTTCGGTCGTCGTACCCTCCACTATCAATAAACTGTCTTCGTCGTGCTCGGTCGTGCTTTGTTTGGCTTTGAGTTGTTCTAAATCGGATGGCTTCAAGTCGGTAACTGAAGCACCGAAGTTGTCTTGGGTGTCGATAATGCAGTAACCTGTGTTTTTGATTGCTTCGTTCTTCGTTTCCACGACGTCGTTGACGTTCGGGTTTAGACTATCCTCGGCCAGTTCGTCTTCGTCGTTGAAGAGAACGTACCCGTTTTGACTGTCCACCACACCGTCATCACTACTAGTCTCAGTCCCCGTGTCCATGAATTCGATATCGAGATTTTTACTTAAGACACTATTTAAAGCTTCAGTTATGATGGTTTTGTTCAAGTCTTCCTTGCCACAAACGTGCTCGAGTTCCTCCATTTCGGCCATCCGCGGTTTTTCCCCGAAGTTGATTTTCTTCTGGAGAGTCGTCTCCAGGTTGAGGTCGAAGTCGTCACCGAGGTCGTCCGAAACCGCGCCGTCTCGGGCCCAATCGGACAGCTCCGTCTCGGTGAGCGCTGCCGTCGGTTCCGCGATTGAATCAGCTTCCGAATCGCCGGACTTGTCGCCTTCGTTCGACAATTTCCGCTTGACGTGTAAGACGTCGTGGATCTCGGGAAGCACGTCTTTGGTCTCCAATTCGGGTAGTACTTTGGGTTGGTTGAGGGTTTTCTTCTCGCTCGTGATGGACTTCGGGGGTTCACTCGACGCCACCGATCGGTTATCTTCGATTTTCTCTTCTTCCATGCACAAGGAGTCCGGCGGGATCTCGTCGATTCGTACGGTTGGAATCGACTCGAAGTTGAATTCGGGCGTCTTCGGAGCCTCGCCGTCGCTCACCGAATCCGTCGAAATACTATCGTCGGTCTGCTTAGTTTTGGACCAATCGATCTTCGGCACGATGATCGACGTTTCGTGAACGGGGCTCCTCGGCCGGCCTTCGGGTTCGTTGACCACGCCTCCAGTTTCTTCGACTTTCTTCGTGTCGAAGCTCTTCGGAGACGGCGGTGTGAGGATCGGGGACGCTCTTTCTGTGAGTTTGTTGCAGAAGGTCTGCATGGCGGCGCTGACTTCCGGCGCCGGTTTTAACATCTTCTGACAGTCGGTGATGTTGCTGTGGAACGACCTCAACTTGGTGTCCAACGTGGACGCGCTCCCCGACTTCTGTATCGAGCCGGGGCCGCTTTCCCCTAACAAATACTTCTTTTTTAACTCTAAGGAAACCTTAGCCGCTATCCCGCCAGTGCTCTGAGTGCGATTTAGAGCATACCCCTCCGTCCGGGGCAGCAAACTCGGTGCGGTCTTTCTGACGATAGATGGTGCTGAAGGCACTAGAGGTGTGAGCTTGAGTTCGATATCTTGCTGGGGTGAGGCGGTGGGTGCTTTAGCCTTGTCGGAGGGGCGCTGCAAGTAACCACTCGTCACCTGGATTTTCCGCAAGGGGGTGGAGCCCCGGGCGCCGGTGCCGCGCCTCTTGGTCACGTTGGCGTCGTTGAAGGAGGTGAAGGGCAGCTCGCGCGTGGGTGTGGGGTCGTCGTGGGCGAACTCCGAGTCGGTGGAGATCTCGGTGGCGGAGTTGCGCACCTCGCTGGAGGAGTCCGAGGTGCTCTCGTCGGAGACGATCTGCAACAGACGGGTGGTTGCTTGAGAGTGCGGGGACTGGGTTCAGGAAAATTAACACTGAGCGGACGGTAGTCAAGCGGACGTGTACGACGGGTATGGACTTTGCCTGTCTTCGCGTTAATTTCGGGTTAATTTTCCTGAAAGGGGTGCGACAAGCGCAGTCGGCTGCTCGAGCACTATGTATACTAGACAAGGTTATTATGGCGGTGGCGGTGTTTAGACCGGATTGAGTCGCCCTGCGTCAGCTGCAGAAAAAGGGGGCGGAGCGGCGGTGACAGGTCTCGCGTTTTCTCTTTCTTTTTGTGAGAGAGAACATGTGTGAATCGGCTTCCTGCCACCGCCGCACACAGTGTTAGCGTTTGGGTTAGAACAACACTCACGTCAGCAATGGATTAAGTTGCACACCAAAATATGGGAAAGAAAAAACAACAAAAAACAAAAACGACACGCCATAGCCATAGTTACCTTCTCTACCATTGCTTTAACGTGACTGTTGGCCACACAGTGATGTCGTACTCGTCGTCCGGTCAATATTTTGCGAATGCATTATACTACTTAAACATTTAAAAAGCGCCAACACTGATAAACTTTAACAACTCAACACTGAATAAACTTTCGACAACTCAACAATTAACAAATAAGAAGCGTATAAAATCGCAGCTTTCGCGGAACTTCTCCGTCGATTAATCGCGCGCGTACAAAAACGACAAACTATATAAAATTAGAAAATTAGTAAAAATGCTCATTGTAAATTGCAGTCTTTATCTTTGTCCTTGATTTTATTTTTCGACTTTGAATCGAGAGTCCGTGCTCGGGACGCGTTCTGAAGACGAGGCAAGTCCTTCAAGCGGACGATTTCTTTTCTAACCTCTAAATTTGTGGTCGAACGGCTTTTAGTATCGTGTTTAGGCGCTGGTGGCGCTAACATCGCCTTGTGTTTAGGCAGAGGAGAAGAAGTATTGGCTCTCTTACGCTGGGGCGCCACTGGAAGAAACTCGTCGTTGTTATTAGGTTCGGTGGGGGTCTTAGGGTGGTCGTGAGATTTTTGACGTTGAGGTCTTTGCGGAGGAGGAGGAGGAGGAGCCTCCTCTGTGGATTTCTTACGGTTGCGGCGAGGTACTGGAGGCGACGAAGTACGTAATGGAGGAGTTGGGGCCCTCTCTTTACGGGGTTTGTTTACTTTAGCGTATAAATCTTCAATGTTTAGGACCTTTTTGGGTTCCTCTTTAGGGGGGTCGTTGTTTTGGAGGTTCTCCAACTCTTCGATTGTTGCATATTCAGGACTTGGGTCTTTAGAAGGGGTTTTTATTACATCTAACGACTCTTCTATATCAACTACGGGATTAGAATCAACAGTAAGTAGGTTTTGGTTTTGAGCAACTAATTCTACTTCGTTTTTATCTTTTTCTGAGGCTATTTTTTCTTTCATCGATTCTATTTCGTCTGTTATTACTTTCATAGTTTCTTCAATTTCCGATTCTTCATCAGAATCTGTCTCTGAGCTGCTTGTTGAACTAGCGTCGGTACTTTCTTCCTCATTATCATCAACGTCAGGTGATAATTGATCTAAGTCAATATTTACAACATCGTTTTCTTTGACACTATTTTGATTATCGTCTATTACGGATACCACTTGTTCTACATCTACAATTTCGACTTCTTCGTCTTGTATTTTTGCTTCTGTTTGGTCTACATCTACAATATTGTCACACGAGTTTGTGTTGTTCATTTCATCCTGATAACTTAGATCGAAATTTCCCAGTCCCAAGTATTCTGGATTTGGTATAGTGGAAACCGTGATATTGACACACCAATCTTTACTCTCTTGCTTCTCCTGATCTTCCATATTGTCAACAACACTTTCAAAATCTTTGATTGCAGCCTCTAGATTCTCAGAGTAGCGTCTCTGGCTATCCCTCTTTTTCAAATCAGCCAAAGAAAACCTCTTCCCAAAACTCCTTCTAGGAACGACTTTGTCTTTCTCTTTTTCTTTGTCGTTTTCTTGTTCCGCGGTCTCAAACTTCATCATAACTTTCTTAATATCGAAATTACTTACCGCATCCAAGTCCACAGAGGTGCGCGGTTTATTACAATAAACGTCTGTCTTAGACCTGGCCAAAGCGAAGGTTTTCGGTGGTTCTTCTTCATCGACACTTTTCCCAGCGAGAAGTCGCTCAAAATATTTAACGTTGTCTTTTGGTAGTTTACTGACAACGGAATCCGCTCTTCGAGGAACTTTCAACGATCTTTCCAAATTTTTGTATTTAGCGTCGCTCAATGACCTATACGCTTTCCGATCACGTGACTGGTGCTCTAAATCGTCCATCCAGTTGAGAAGATCTTCGATCTTTTCATCAATTTTGTGATCGATAGTTGGGTCACCTTCTGGCTTAGTCTCAGTCTTTAGCGCTTTGAACAAGTCTTCAATACTGCTCGAAATCGCGTCTTCTTTCTTGTCATCCTCTTCCTCCTCGCTTTCCGGCTCCGGCTTAACCGCGTATTTCTCGGGATCAATCGGCTTCATCAACTCCTCCTCGTTCGCCAGGAGATTCTCAATATACGTATCGATCTCCCCGCTATCCTCCAACGGCTCGAAATTAAACCTAACCTCGCTCTTTTTCTCGTCCTCCTTCGTCTTCTCCGGCAGACTCTTCTGCTTGACGAACTTGTTCCTCGGCACGCTCGCGACGGTTTCCGATCGTTTCAAGATCGGCTTTGGCTTCGGCTCCCCGAAGTACTTTTTCGCGTTTTCGAAGTTGGCCGAGACGGCGACCTTCGGCTTACCTATCTCCTTGGGCATGTTCAGCTTACTGGGGGTTCGTTTGATTATTAGGAGCGGTTCGGGGTCGCTCGCGGGGAACTTCGGCACGAATTCCGCCCCGAAACTCTTGCGCTTTTCCCTGGGCGGGAGGATAAAGTTTCTGGAGGGTTTCGGGGGCGGTAACGCGCCGGCGGTCGCGCTTTTCGCGAGGGCGAAATTTTGGGCTTTAGTCTTTGCGTCGTCGGAGTCTATTTCGGGCTCACAACCGGAGACGGCGCTGCTGAATTCGGCCGAATCGTCGTCCGAACCGGGCGATTTCGACTCGGGGACGCGCAAGTGATTGTCGGATAGAATGTCCGGAATTGTGGATAAGTTAGATGACTTCACCTCTGTGTCTGTGCCTGTGTCGGTTTGGACGACTGGGGGCTCCACGCGGACTTCTTGACGGCGGAGCTCGCGGGCGCGGATTTCCTCTTCGCCTTCGGTGGCGGTGTCGCTGTCGTCATCTGGAAAAGACAGATAAAATAGTGGGGGTAGAACGGGGGAGATATACAGGGTGTATAGTGTTAAGTTCCGAGCTTTACCAGCAGATGTGTGCTTACACTTACCATGTGCAAAATATACATTTATTATTACAAATACAATCAATTTGTGTTACATCCTGATTTGGTGTAGGGTCACAATGACGTCACGCGCAGATTTCAAACTGCTTTAAGTTGTTCTAACTTGAAAGCTACACATGTTAGTTTCTCTTCGAGGCATTCTTCACTAAAGCTTTTTAAAATATTTTTTTGAAACTGCTGGCAAAATATTGAACTTAAGTACACTACAGCCTGCATACTGACATACAAAATGCAACATCTATAGCCATGAACCTTCCAAAAACTGTTTTTTAGTAGTAAGAAGCAACTGATTAAATTCTGCCGCAGAAAAATAACAAGTACATGAGTTATTAATAAATTATGCGTCATAGCGTCATACTTATCGTCTCCCGATCCTGGCCAGAGGTCTTTGAAAATGCTTCCAATTATGTTGTTTGTACTCCTTTGCATCCACAATCAGTTTGTAGTATTCTCCCAGTTCTAAGAACCTGATCTTTGTCTTTACCAAGTTGAGTTTCGTAGCGTGCTCCAGAAAAATAAAGCCTGGGGCACTTTAGCAAAGGAGGTAAAAGTTATCTTAGACGTTTATCCATGCAATGATTAACCTCTGACGACAGTGGATCGGAAATAGTTGCTTGTAGCGTTGAAAGAATACTAAGGACTGGTGCAATTTTCCATCTTCGGTAGACTACATACATGTTCCATGTAATAACGCACAATTTTATGACAAGAAAAATGCCACAGATGTCACCTTTGTTTGATGTATATACATCCAAATGTAAATTTTTCAGTTGCTTCAAAGTATAGTAATTTCAAATTCCGTTTCACAGGTGTTATTATAACCTCTTCAAACCAAAATTTTTGACAGTTGGCAAACGCACCTGTGTAAATTTCAACGTTCCAATTTTTATAAGCTGTTGCATTTTATACGTCAGTCAGTGTATATTCAAAATGGTGATGAAATAAAATGAAAAATCATAAATGAATGAAGAAGAGTAAAAAAACACTTAGCCTAATTAGATTTTTCATATGCCATACAATGACTACGCATAATAATTTGTTTAATGTACATTTCTACGTTTTGAATCATTGTGTGACCCAAATTATAAAAAAATACAAATTTTAACGAAATTTGTGAAAGAACATTATTGTTTGTAAGGTTTGTACATATGTGACATGTATTAGTTTAGGAAGGAAAGGTATGTAGAAGTGATGAGTGAACACAAAATGGAGATGTGTGACGCATAGATGCCAATAGGCACTGTAGAATTACTAAATTATTTGACGATGTATTATTATTTTATTAACATTATTACCTTTGAAAATTTGTTAATTATTTAAAAAATTTTAACATTCTAATTAAAATTCTTGAGACTAAATAACAATTATAAAATTTTTAAAAAACATTAGAGTATTTTCACAGTATAATTGATTAAATAAATATAGATAATCCCATTCTATAAGATTAATATTATTTTGGATAAGTAGCAGTGACTATGATAATCCTTATTTTATTATTATTAAATACAGGCGAGCGCAACATTACTGCATTCTCAAATTTTCCAGAAAATGGAGTGAATTGTTCTTGATTTGATCAACAAAAAGATGTCATCGACTTCTGAAATCGATATTACTCAGCACCAAAAAATGAAAAAACTAGGTAATGGCTCACCACGTACTATTTGAAAAAAGCTCATTTATATTTAAAAAACTGTGACTTTTTACCCAGAAATTTCCTCGCTTCTGAAGCAAAATGTAAACTGTATATGTGGCAGTGTAATATTTGAAAAATTTTAATGAATGTCAGGGGTCTCTGGTGTTTTATTCCTGAAAGTGTTTAAAGATCTTGGGAAGCCCTCCGTGTTTTATATTCGAAAAATGTTTAAAAGATCCTGGAGTTATCAGGTGTTTTATATTCGAAAAAGTTCAATGAATTTCCGGGAGCTCTGATGTTTTACATCGGAAGTGTTTTAAAAAACTTTGCGGGCTGTCGTGTTTTATTTTGGAAGATTTGTAAAGAATCTTGGAGTCCTCATGTGTTTTATATTTGAAATATATATTATATTTGAAAGTGTTTTAACGAGTCTTGGAGTGGGCTTTTAAAGATCATGAGATCCTCATTGAAAGCGTTTTAAAAAATCTTGCGGGGGGCCTCATGTTTTATATCTAAAAAAAAATTACAGAATCTTGAAGTCCTAAGGTGTTTTAGAATTGCGACAATTTAATGAATCTCAGGGGCTTCTGGTGTTTTATTTCTGAAAGTTTTAAAAAATATAAAAATATTGAGTGCGGGGAAGAAGGGGGGGGGGCTTGAGTTTTGTATTTGAATAAAATTTAAAGGATCCTGGAACCCTCAGGTTCCATTTTAATGAATCTCAGCGCTCTCTGGTGTCGCTCGTGTTTTATGGGGTCCCCTCGTGGTTTATATCTGAAAAATTTTAATAAATCTTAGGAGCCCCTGGTGATTTACATCTACACGTGTTTTAAAGAATCTTAGGGGGGCCGTTGTGTTTTATATTTGAAAAAAAATTAAAGGATCCTGGAACCCTCCGGTGTTTTATAACGGAAAGTGTTTTAAAAAATCTTGGGGACCCTCGTGTTTTATTTTGGAAAAATTGTAAAGCATTTTGGAGTCCCCATGTGTTTTATATTTGAAATATATATTATATTTGAAACCCTGGGTGTTCTATCTCTGAAAATGTTCTAAAAGATCTTGAGATCCTGAGATGTTTGATGTCTGAAAGCGTTTTAAAAAATCTTGGGGAGGGGGGCTCATGTTTTATATCTAAAACAATTTTAAAGGATCTTGAAGCCCTAAGGTGGTTGATATTTGTGAAAGTTTAATGAATCCCAGGAGCTTCTGGTTTTTTATTTTTGAAAACATTTTAAAGGATCTAAGGATCTTGAAACCCTGAGGTGTTTTATAGGTAATTATAAAATTTTAATGAATCTCAGGAGCCTCTGATATTTTATACCTGACAGCGTTTTAAAGAATCTTGGGAGGGCGCTCGTGTTTTATATTTGAAAAATTTTAATAAATCTTAGAAGGCCCTGGTGTTTTACATTTATAAAATTTTGATGAATCTCGGGAACTTCTGGTGTTTTATAATGGAAAGTGTTTTAAAAAATCTTGGGGGCCCTCGTGTTTTATTTTGGAAAAATTGTAAAGAATCTTGGAGTCCTCATGTGTTTTATATTAGAAATATATATGTATTATATCTGAAAGTTTTTTAAAAGATCTTGAGATCCTTAGATGTTGTATATTTGCAAAAATTTAATGAATTTCAGAGGCTTCTACATCTAAGTGTTTTAAAGAATCCCAGGGGGGGGGCCACTTGTGCTTTATATTTGAAAAAAAAATTTTGAGTATCCTGGAACCCTCAGGTGTTTTACATTTATAAAATTTTAATGACTGTCAGGAACTTCTGGTGTTTTATAACGGAAAGCGTTTTAAAAAATCTTGGGGGCCCTCGTGTTTTATTTTGGAAAAATTGTAAAGGATCTGAAAGTGTTTTCACGAATCTTAGAGGGGACTTCATGTTTTATAGGGACTCTTAGTGTTCTATCTCTGAAATTTTTTTAAAAGATCTTGAGATCCTCAGGTATTTTATGTCTGAAAGCGTTTTAAAAAATTTAGGGAGGGCCTCATGTTTTATATCTAAACAATTTTAAAGGATCTTCAAGCACTCAGGTGTTTTATATTTGCGAAAATTTAATGAACTCAGGGGCTTCTGGTGTTTTATATTTGAATAAATTTTAAAGGATCCTGGAACCCTCAGGTGTTTTATATTTGAGAAATTTTAATGAATCTCAGGGATTTCTGGTGTTTTATAACGGAAAGTGTTTTAAAAAATCTTGTGAGCCCTCGTGTTTTGTGAAATTTGGTGGTCAAATATAATTTAGGATAATGTTCACAAATAGTACAAGGTATTGTATCTTCGTTTTAAAATTTCGGTAGAATTTTTCATGACCTGTCTTTAAAAATCCATATCTTAATTAAGTATTTAAACAAATTTCGGAACACGGTTTTCACCACTGTTTTCAGCTTAAAAATCGATAAATAGTATCAAAAACATTGTCAACTTTTTTGGACGGAAATGAGATAAAAAACTTCTTCGACACAACCTGTTTTTGATTTACTGTACCTTTCATTTGACACTTACACAAAAAAAAACCTATATCCATCCAAAGTAAAGGAGTAATATTTTCCCATTATTACATTATTTACTGCCCTAAAAAACTAAGGCAAAATTTGAATATATATTCAAGAAAAAAATCCGCAGACAAAATTTTAACAAATAAAAATTGCATTAATACAGTGAAATTATTTTTGGAAAATGAAGTTAATAATCACTAACAAGTGTTTTTTTTTTCAATATTTTATGTCAGTAGAGGAGGGCTGGAAATAAACGTGCCCCCCCGGGATTAAACCCCTGGTGTGGGGTCGTCAAAACAGCCCCGCGGACAAGCTCCCGCGTGTTTGTGCCGTGCGTGGAGACCCGTAAGGTGGGATGAAGGAATCCTGGAGGTTGAGCTCCCCTTGGTGCAGTGTGTCACCAAGGCTGGGCAACACGCCTCTTTGGCCTGGATTTCCACCAAAACGGGAGGTCGAGACTAACCCATCTCAGATCAATCGGCTGTGTCGTCGGGTCAGACCGCCGACAGGGTGAGTCCTTGGGGGAAGTGTAGTCTGAGCACGAGTAGCCTCACTAGTTGAGGCTGCGTACTGCAGGATGAGCTTCCCTGGGGGCTATATCCTTCTGCTAGCCCTGACGTCGAAGTTCGACGTCCCCTTGTTGGACTCCGTGGTGGGTGGGGACGCAGGAGGACGAAATCAAAATCCAGATTATGGAAATCGACAATAAAAAAGCCACTGAGGAAGTGCCTTCGGGTGCACCTCAAAC